AAAGTTTTTGCAATTTTCCGGACTGACTGACCTTCATTTCTTAAAGTAATGATGGCCACTCGTTTTTCTTTAGTTAGCTGATTGGTTCTTGCCATAATATGAATTTTAACAGTTGTCCAATAGGGCTGTCGGCTGTGTATTAACCTGACTTCTGCACAACACAACTGATGGTCCCAACCCCATTGATAAAGCAAGAAATTCCACTAATTAACCCTGATAAGGCACACATGTGAAGTGGAAACCATTTCAGGTGACTACCTCTTGAAGCTCATGGAGAGAATGCCAAGAGTGTGCAAAGCAGTAATCAGAGCATAGGGTGGCTATTTTGAAGAAACTAGAATATAAAACATGTTTTCAGTTATTTCACCTTTTTTTGTGAAGTACATAACTGCACATGTGTTCATTCATAGATTTGATGCCTTCAGTGAGAATCTACAATGTAAATAGTCATGAAAATAAAGAAAACGCATTGAATGAGAAGGTGTGTCCAAACTTTTGGCCTGTACTGTATATATTGTATTTTATATTTTATATGTTATAGTTTTCATTGACAGCGATTGCTTCTCTGTAATTGTTGTACATATGATTAAAAAACACACCTGCATTATACCTGCATGACTCCCACAGTACTCCTTCAAAACTGATACATATTTCTGAGGGACGTTTTATATATTTGACATTTTTGTTAAATTTTCAACAATAGTATACATAGTTTCTCAAGGTGGAGTGAGGATGCCATGCCAGAATCAGAGGATTTAACAGCTCCATAGGAAGATTTTATTTCGTATGGCAAAAACGTTTTGGTCATGTCTTGAGAAATGTAATAATCTGCAGGTTAAAAGATAAAATATTCGTATCATATCACCTGTCAGAAATCTATATTAAAGAGACAATAATAACATGATGTGCGATGATTCAACATGTGGTAGCAGTCGGTGTTAAACTCAGTTTTTAATCTGTATTTTCTGTATTTTTCATGTGCAGCATTCGGACTGAATGGAGCTCATGGTCATATTGACTTCTATGCCAACGGTGGAGCCGACCAACCAGGGTGTCCTAAAACCATCTTTGCAGGTGAACACACACACACACACACACACACACACACACACACAAGCAGTATGTGAGCATTAAGCTTTGCTTGTGTTCCTTTCTCCTTTATGGGAACTGAGGCTGCAGAGCTCACTCAATAGTTTCCTGCTATTTGTTGGTTATGTTGTTTTTGTAAATAATTCACAGTCTAATAGTTGACCTTTGACCCCAGAAAAATAAGTGACGTGGTTTCATTTGATTAAAACCTGAGGAAAGGCTACTTTGAGTGAATCTTTCTTACTGTTTCTTACTGTGTCACTTCATCCATTTTCACCTGTTTTATTCATTATGAGGTTGTTTCTCATAACTAATAGTTGAGGGTAGTCAGTTTTACCAAAAACCTCACAGATGTCACTGATTAGTTGTGTTGCTGTTCTGTAATAAATTATCTTATCTTCAAAATTCTTTTTCTTCATCTTGTAGCTTTTTCTCTAGACGCACCTAAATTCTATATAACATCAGAAATTCTGACTGGAATCACTCACTAAATTCTTCTGAAAAATAAAATGATGTTTGGAGCTGATAATGGACTTTGAGATGCTGATAATATGAAGTGGTACAAAATGCAGCTTTTAGCCCGGGACTGTAAGGGTTAATGCACACACACTTAGGGAAGTAATTGTCTTTGTCTCCCACAGGTAAATCTTATTTTGTGTGTGACCACCAGCGCTCAGTGTTTCTGTTCCTGTGCTCTCTGAACCAGACCTGCAGCCTGACAGGTTACCCGTGCTCGTCCTACAGCGACTTTCTGGAGGGACGGTGTCTGCAGTGTGAGGCCTTCAGACCTGCATCCTGCCCTGTGCTGGGTACGTGGGCAAATGTGTAGAGTCTGAGCTCCCACTGTGACTGATGGAGGCTTCATGTCTGATTACCTGTGTGTTCTCACCTGTAGGTTATGATGTCAGCCAGTGGAGAGAGACTCTGCTGCAACTGGGACAGACCAAAGTCTTCTTCAGCACCACGGCCACGCTGCCCTACAGGAGTGAGTCAAACGCAGAAAGTCTCATCAATAAACAGCATTCACACGACAGATTTACTGAAGTACAATGAGATAATGGCATTGCAGTAGCTGTAATCTAAATGCTGACCAATCTGTGTCATACTCTTATCAGCGCTGAAAAGTAACTAAGTACAGTTAATGTTACTTTCTGCTTCTACTCCTTTACATTTATCTGAAAGCTGGAGTTACTTACTTCAAGATTTTTGCAAACAAAACATAAGAAGATCTTAAAAAAAATCTGTATTGTATGTTTAATTTATTTTCCTTACGATAAAATTACTTAAGTTTTATGGTTATAGCTTCTTTTTCTCTTTAATTAACAATTAACAATTTGGATTTATTTATTTATTTATTTTTTGACTTTTCTGCATTGAGTACTTTTAATTTTAATACTTTAAATACGTTCCCCTGATTATGTGTACATACTTTTCCTTAATCAACATTAAGTGAAGGATCTTAAAACATCCTCCACCACTTCTCTTTATAAGTGCAAATCATGTATTTTGTGTTTTCTACCAGCTACTAAAAAAATAAATAAATAAAAAAGATGGGGTTTGATGTTACCGATGGACAAAATTTTACAGTCACTGATTGTGGAGCAGCAGCTTTTTTCTGCTCATTAAGTTTAAAGTTAAAGAACAGGTGCACAAGTCCATCTTAAAATAATAGTCAGGTGCCTCTACGTACACTGAAACAGGTTTTACTTGTTGTAATCATTCCTCCTGTGAAAATGATCCACAGTGCTGATCTTACTATATCTTACTATATAATGACGAAAACTCTGTCTGTGAGTGTGTGTGTGTGTGTGTGTGTGTGTGTGTGTGTGTGTGTGTGTGTGTGTGTGTGTGTGTTCCATGTTTTTCACCTCACTGACTTGGTCAATCCATGTGAAATTTTGTCACAGTGGTAGAGGGTCATGGGAGGATGCGAATGAAGCAATATTACATCAGTTGCAAACTTTGAATGGGCATATCTCATGCCCCATATGTCGTAGAGACATGAAACTTTGCACAGAGATGCCTCTCCTCATGAGGAACAAATTTGCCTCAAGAACCTATAACTTCCGGTTATATAGATTTTCCACCATTTTGAATTTTTTGAAAAACACTGAAAATCGATCTCTTCCTAGGAAGTTTGACCGATCTGCAAGAAACTCGGTGAACATAATCCAGGGACCAATATCTAAAGTTCCCTCTTGGCAAAGGTTGGAAAACTTACTAAAACTGAGCTTCTATAAGGCAATGAATATTGCGGAGGGCATGGCTCATCACATAAAGGTGTGTAACATCTCAAGGGTTTCACTGATCACCACGCAACTTTGTAGGCATATGACCACACATAATCTGAGGGGACCCCTCCATTATTGACCCCATCAAACAAAATGGGGGCGCTAGAGAGCTAATTTCTTATCTAGGACTAACGGCCATATTGATTTTTACTAAACTTGGTAGATATGTAGAACAAGACGCCTCAAGGTGACTGGAGAACTTTAACTCTATTTGGCAACTGGGTGGCGCTATAACAACAGAAAAATGCTTAAAAATGGCTAAAATGCGACCGATTGCTGTGGCTCCCCCTGTGGCTGTATTTGTTTGTTTTTTTTCTAATTTTTGGTATGACTAAGTCATGGTATGGTATGCTGCTGCAACAAGGGCTAGCCACACCTTTCCCATGTGAACTACCAGTGCGCCCCACTTGTAAGTTAATACAACATAAACACTTTAACTATCTGCCTTTCAACATGCTACCTCAACTACTAATGTACAGTTTTAGCCCACTAACTATCCCACTATTGGCAATGGTACTACTGTACTTTCAATAAAGCAATCGTACTATCAAATTCACAAAAACTCTGTCTGAATACATTGCTCTTCTTAATGGGTTCAGTTGACTATTTAATCTGCAATTTCCTATGACCTGTATCCCAAACACACACCATGTGCAACTGTATGTGGGCAACTGTGCACTCAATGGGTATGGACTAGTTCTATGTACACACTTTGTAAAGTTCAGCTGAGGCCCATATGAAGTTTCACAGTCTAAGTTAGACAAATCAAGTGGATATCTTCCAAAGCTGCTGCAATTTTATGGCAAAACCTCTTTATGTTAGTCTCACTCTTCTGCAGTTCAGCAGGAACACCCAGAGAAGGTATTTTGTATTTAAAAGACTAACTTTGGAAAATATCTGCGAGATGTGACAAACTTCAGATGCAGTGTTTTTACACAGGACAACTGTGGATTTTGTCTTTTGCCCTACATTGGAGGTACATTAAAACAGGATCTTTAAAGGCCAGTATGAACAGAGGAATGATTACGACAGGCAAAAAAACCTCTTAAAGGGTCAGTTCACCCAAATTACAAAAGCACATTTTCTCACTCCAGCGGTATCTAGCTATGCAGATGTTGTTTTGATGTATCTGCCTCAGAGATTTCTGCTTCAATACAATGGAGGTGAATTTATGTCATTTGTTTGTGACAGAGCTGAGCTACAGAGTGGACATGGTGACCTGGAACCAGTACCTCCGCTGGGGGGTCGTCTACATCTGTCTGCACAGTGGAAGAAACTTCACAGAGGCTCGAATAGACCAGTAAGTCTGTCTGTAATGGAAAAGTGGAATACAAGTTTCCCTGTTGGAACATCAGTCTGCAGAAGTTAAACATATCTGGCTTTGAAATAAAATATCTTTACCTTTCTCCTCCTCTGCTCTCAGTAAGCTCCTCCGGTTTGAGCAATATACCTCCACCCGGCTGCTGGCCCAGTTCGACGATGATCTGCAGCATGTCCAGAAGATCTCGCTGCGCATCAACACTGGCAACGTGATTGGCCCTCGTTACAAAATCAGACTGCTGCGAATACGCTTCACACCGCTGGAGCGTCCTGAGAGGTCAGTCCTGAACCCACAGTGTTCATTACAGTTTTAGACATTTAGCTGTTTTTGTTTTACAAGTACACTCACACATGCTCATCAGACCATTCTCAAGCACACTCTCTCAATACTGGACCATATTTAGACACAAAACACAAGACAATAGGGTCCAGGTTTGAAAAACTGAAGTTAACCTTTAAGTACATTTTGCTGATAATACTTTTATTATAGTGTACTTCAATAACATTTTTAAAGGACTTTTACTTGTAACAGAGTCTTTTACCAGAGTTGTATTGATACATTTACTTAAGTGAAATATAAGATTACTTATCAAAAATAGTGGCTGATTAATTTGCTGTCAATCACCTAATTGAATAATCATCTAATAGTGCTCTCTCCTCCTCCTCTCTGTTAGGCCTTTAATGTGCCGTTTTGATATCATCATGGAGGAGAACATGGAGGTGGCGTTTCGACCTTTACCCTGCAACTCTCGCCTCTGACTCCCCAAACAGATACAGCTCTTCTTTTTCTATTGTGGAAACACATTTAACTCACCCAAGCCCAGATGTCCTCTGGGTGCTACAGGGTCTCCTGTCTCACAGGGGGACCTCCAGGACGACCCCTCAGGTGGAGCTGCAGCCTCCTCACTGGGTTATCACGACCCAACTGGTGCTGTGGATCACTCCTGCTTACTGGAACATATTGTTACATATGACTGAAACACATCTGTCTCTGCTGGTGCTGATGGGATTTTTGGAAAGTTGAGTGTTTATCTGTGAGATCAGGAAACACAGCAACAAGATTTTTAACCAGGTTAAGGAAAAGCTGCTGCAGGAGAGACGACACGGTGAAATCAGTGTTCAGAACCTCTCAATTTCTGCTGCATTTATACTACAAAATACATTTAACCTGTAACTGCAGTGAAACTGACAGGACTGCAGATCTGTTACACATCTATCCTGTATTCATTGTTGATAAATATGATATGAAAACCATGTGGTGATATTTAGAAGCATTAACTAAGAAAATAATCTTTTCTCTGTGGGAGAAATTAACCATTTAAAGTTTCTTTGGATTAGCTGGTATTTGGAGCCATGTGGTTTTTCACAGGAAAACAGGGATATACAAAAAAGATTGGGCTTCAGACACCAATGGATTTACAAAACATTCACAAAACCTTTTCATTATTTTGCTTTTTTTTCCTCAGATTTAAATGTTGTATTTGCAGCATTTGCAACAGAGCCAAAATTTTATCATGGAAATTTAAAACGGGTTATTTAAAAACAAAACAAGGTATATAAAGTGCTTTAACAAAAGGTTTTAATTTGTTATTGAGAAGTGATTTTGTTTTATTGAAAAGTAATGTTCTGCAGGCACCTTTTATATTTACAGTAAATAAATAAAATGTATTATAATTTCTGCCCTGATAAGCATTTATATTAAAAAAACAAAAATTGAGCAAGACCAAAAGTTACAGCTACATAACAAAACAAAACAAAAACCAGGGATAAAAAATGATGTCAAAATCAATGATTAAAACTTAAAAACTAAGTCTACTTGAAAAATAAAGGAGATTAAAAAATTGTTCTTTAACTTTTCTTTTTGATTTCTGACATGTTGGAATTGAGGGTGTTGTAAACTATTCATATGCTGGACTTTAGCCCCAGACACACCAAACCAATTATTGTGGCGCCCCCAGATTTCCTGTGTCACAGCCAAAAAGTTGAATGAGGCGCCCAGGAACACTGCTCAGCATTGCAGCAAATTTTTTAAAAGTGGCCACTTACAGTATTGCAGTGTAAAAATCTCCTGCGGCCGGTAGACCACCATTACAAAAGACACATCTTTAAAAGTGTTGACAAGACACTTCATACTGCAAACAAGGTCAATTATGATTCGTTCTACTGTGAATGTTTGATCCATGGTGGTTTTATATCTGTAAAACTTTCGAGTTGAGAAAAGTGATTTAAAAATCTGTGATGTCATTACAATGCAAAGTCTGTGAGCAGAGCAGGGACTCACAGACTAGGCCAGCGAGAGAAACACTAACTGCACACATTCAGTGGGCCCCATACCACTAAAGTGAACTTGCAAACTAGAAAACTTTTTTGACGTATGCGCCAAGCAAGCAACATCAGTGGAATAAATAGGCGCCATCTTGGTATCTGATATCTAGTTATTGTTAAAATCTATGACTTGAGCACACTGAAAAATTACAGCCAAGAGCCAACTAGCGCATACATTCTGTGCCTGTGTGAGAGGAAGTAACTCACCACACCAGCTAGTGGCTGTCATCTGTATCATTCAAAAAGGGAAACCAGGAGACCGAGGTTTCAAGACGCAATACAGCACATTAACAACACAACCTGATGTTGAAAGAACAAAGGATATTTACAGTGCGTCATTGAAAAATATCACAATTACAAATTATTTCTGCTAAATAGCTCGATGGGTCAGGGATAATCATACCTCATGTAACAAGTTTTTGATCGCACTCCCTCTTAACTTTAGCCATTTGTTTATTTTCCTCACTTGCATTTCTCTTCACGTGCACTGTGCTGAACTGTCAGTCAGAATGATTTTATTCACTTACATACTCTATCAGATCCGATGCAGGTTCAACATGCTGAATTGGCTGAAACACAGCCAATAAGGCCTGACTAGTGCCAATGATGTTGGACAAACAACAAAAACTAGGGGGAGAAACGTTCACAGATGACCTGACATTGACCAACAGCCGACCGCTGATTGGTGTGTCAGGGCCTTTTGACTTTAAGGGCAATCTCATATTTTTGGTAAGTTCATCCCTAAAAAAAAGGTTACAATAAATTCTTGTTTACCAGAAAAAAACTGGATCCCCATTACATAATGTTAAAATGTATTAAGATAAACTGTTATGCTTCATTTTTCAAGACTGGATAACTTTTGCACGTTTGAGGTTTGCCGTTCGTCCCACAAAAGGGGTGTGAAATCTTTAAATTTCCTACTTTTGATCAGTTTCAGTGCAGTTACAAAAGCAAATGAAAATGCAGCTTATTTCCTCTGAGTGCCTTCTAACCAACAATTCTCAACCCTCTTCCTGTTTTCATGCTGCAAATATAATGCAAGTACTTTAAAAGGCCAGTTTAAAGACAAGTAATCACCCAGTGGGGCTGAGAGCTGCTGCTTTAACAGTGACGCTGCTATGACATTTGTCCACAGCAAAACAAAACCAGTCATAAGCTGTTGTACTACAGTTGTGCTGTATTACTGTGAGAAGCTGTTAATTGTGTTTTATTCTGAAAACAAAGGTAGCTATGAGGAAATGTTTGTAGCTTGTGAATTTGGGGACTTACTTTAATTGATCTTTTAGATGTTTAAAGAGCATGTTAGGGACTTTAGTGTCAGTAAATGTTTCATGTTGTGAATATTAATTGTAACTGAGCAGCCAATACAAAGATGTGTAACTCATGAAAAATGTGTCTCAGTGTTGAAAACCTAAATTGTTGTCTTTTTTTATGATGTATTTTCACCTGTGGATTGAAATAAATATTCACTTGACAGTAATGTGTATTTTTTGAGGTCTCTGGTGTAAACTGAACTCAAAGTTTGAGCGTGTGCAGCTGTTTTCGGATGCCTACAGGTGGAAAAGCAGGATTTAACTGCAGGCCCTGAGAATGAAACATTTTTAAGGTGTTTGTAAGGCGACGTCAGCTACATATTTCACATATACAGAAAACACTCAGACGTTTACTAAGAGTGAAAAACATTTACTCGTCACACAATTGCTAACAAATATTCACACCCATTAATCAAACAGAATCTGTTTTATGCTATTTGTTCCAATTTTGCAGTCGCTACAAGCTCTATAGAAAAACTGACTCCTGGGGTTAATTCTTATGCTTGAAAACACATTTTTGATCTTACAAATGACAAAACAATCTCATCACAACACTCACTAATAAGGTTTTTCCAGGGCTTTCAGCCATATCATGTGGCCTTCATCAGAGGACACTGTTAGCTCAGATGTCACATCGACACTTTTAGTTGTTATCATGATGTTATATAAACGTTTAATGCTAAAACATCCTTGGGCATGCTAAACAAACGGCTAAAGGTCAATTAAACTTAAATATACAGCGAAATGGTTTTCAAAAGATATAGATTTTAGATTTCTTGGTGGTTCAGAAGAATGTTTTATCTCCAAATTGTGTTTTAAAGGGACAATTCACCCCAAAATTAAAAATGTGAATGCCTCTTCTTACCTGTTGTGCTATTTATCAGTCTAGATTGTTTTGGTGTGAGTTGCAGAGTGTTGGAGATATCGGCCGTAGAGATGTCCGCCTTCTCTCCAATATAATGGATATAATAATAATATAATAATCATGAACTGCATCACTGCGCAGAAGGAAGTGTGCATCTGCTCATGGACGAGAGGCTTGTGATCATGACAGCGCAAGGTATAAACATTGATGGCGTCCTCCTCAGCTGAGCTGTAATGTTAGCTATAGCTCAGTGGTGCTAGCAGTAGATGCACACATCCTTCTGCATAGTGATATGTTTGGTGGCTGTAGTTCAATAGAAAGAAAATAGTTCCTACATGAAACTGCTCACAAGGATTGAGGATTATCTTGAGTAACTGTTTAAGGTTTCCAGAAGAGTGACATTGCTGTTAAATTTTTCAAATGTATTTTCTGGCACTTTGAGCATCACAAGCTGGGTGCCATCTCCATTTACTGGAGAGAAGGCAGACATCTCCAACACTCTGCAACTCACACCAAAACAATCTAGACTGATAAATAGCAGTACAGGTAAGAGGAAAATTTGTGTTTCTGGATTTCCCTTTGATTGAAAAAAGAACCTGATACAATTAGATAAATACAACAAAGACGCTGCTCCAAATGACACTTCAAATTGTGAAATTTAAACCACTAAAACAGTAGATCATGATGGAATATTTGCATTGGTTTCTCCAAGATGAGCCTCAAAGTCATCCTTACACTTCTTTCAGTCACTCCATCATGTGTATGTGGATCAAAATAAAGCATTTAAGACTGTCACATTCTGCACAAAAGGCCTTTTTCTCAGACGACAGTAGAGAAAGCATAGGTAGAATAGAAATAATAACATTTCAGGTTCATGTTATAAGTGATACCTGTGTCAAAATGTCTGTGAAAAAGGCTTATTTACTGTCACTGTTTATTGCAAAGTAATCTATATTTGATAAGTGACACGGTAAGTAAGCTTTATGTATTTATGTTTCTGCAAACCCAGTTTACCTCCCTATAAGATAAGCATTTGAAATGCCACAATGACAATCAGACAAAATAAAGATGTCAAATGTTTTATTTATTATGGACACTGCCACATGTCACTGATAGTGAGGCTGGTGTTACATAATTATAATGTGTACAGATGTGATGAAACTGAGACAGAGGAGAAACAACATTAACAACAGAACTAAGTTATCAACAAGCAGTTAAACTGTCACGAGGGATGTGTACTTCACTGATAACTGGGCAGAAGGATGTGATAATGTTCTGACGGCAGGAAATCACAGTCATTTTAAAGTCCTTTAACTTCACATGAGCATCGTGTATTTTATTAATGTCACCTTGTGCTTCAGCGAGATCTGCAACGATACAGCTGTCAACATTTTAAACCAACATCATCCTAAGAGATGACGACCATTTCATTTAAAAAATAGAAATCATCCACATCATGTACATGGGAAAGTGTCAAATGTGAAAATATAGACAGCAAAAAAACAACAACAGACAGACACAAAGAAAGATGGACAGAAGGACAGAGCAGGTGTGTACAGAAGTTTTAGAATGTGAATCATCTTTCAGCTTAATCAAACTTATCAGTTAGTCTGCTGCTCCCCGTTGGTGAACACTGACACAGCAGAGATTTCTTCACAGTTAGAACAACATTGTGCTGCTGATAAAAATCAAAACAATTCAGCCAGGGAAGAAGACAAAATCCTTTTAGGTGGCCGGTTTTGACAAATAGTTTTAAAAGTCATCAACAAATGAGCAGCATCCAAAACAGGATACTTTCCAGTGTCCAATCACCAGTTAGGACCTACGAATGTAAAACACAAAGAGAGAGACAGAGGGGAGGTCAGAGAAATTCAGGTCACAGGCAGAAATAATAAAAGAGGATTGGACTGGTGTGAATGGAGAAAGAGGAGGTGAGAAGATGGGATTTGGACCAGCTCAGGTATGATTAGAAGCTGATCCGCGGGGAAACACTCCTTAAAACAGTAACGTGTCAGCAGGTCAAAAGTCAAGGAGAATATTCCGCTACCAAACCGACCTATACGCAAAGCTGCCAGAGTAAAGAGTCTGTTACACAACGGGAGCAAAAAGAGTTCAACACAGAATAAACCTGACTAAATGTGCCACACTGAGCCTGAGATAGTAGCTGCATGCAGGGTGGGACTGGAATACCTTTAAAGTCACTATTAAATAAACAAATGCATAAGTGAATAAATATGCCTATGAAATAAATAAATGGGGTTTTAAAATAAATTTTAAAAAATGTGAATTATGAAATAAAAGTTCCTTGAAATAATAAATATGACATTATAATTATATCATATAAAAGTCCCCTTAAGAAATAAAAGTGAGTCCCCTGAATTAAATAAACAAATAACTGAATGTCCCCCAAAATAAATAAATGTGGAATGAGAATTAGTACCCCAAAATAAATGTGAAATTATGAAAAAAATGTACATAAATAAATGTGGAACTATGAAATTAAAGTCCCCTGAGGTAAATTTAAGGTTTTTCTGAAAAAAATACTGTTTTAAAATAAAACCTCATTTATTTATTTATTTACTGACCACATACACTTTATATTTCAATATTTACATTTATTTAAATATTTACTATCTATTTTTTGTTTTGTTTCAGGATTTACTTCATAGCCATTTTCTTTATTTCACAGGTATATTTATTTATTTGTTCAATACTGACTTGAATGGCATTCCATAGGACTGAGCTGCCAATCAGAGTATCAATAGTTTGAGTTGTGGCTAAATAAAATACTGGGCCCGTATTCACAAAGATTCTCAGAGTCCTCTCAGAGAGCTCATAACTCAGCCTAAAAATTCCTAGCAAGGAATCTTAGCTTAAGAGTGATTCAGGAAGTTTCTGAGAGCAACTCTGAGCAAGGAGGGAACAGAAACTTTTATCTTAGTGAGGAGGTGTGGTTGACCCCGTTGCTAGGTATGACGCAGTCTTTTAAAAGCTGTGATGTGTTACCAAAAAAAATAAAAAAATGCACTCCTAGTAATGAATGGACAGTGAAATGAACCGATCATAGAACTTAGACTGTAGGCTATTAAGAAATGTGTAATCGTGAAAATAATTTTATGTCATGATGATGAAACTCACGCTCAAACTCAAACGCTTCAAAATGTTTGAACGTACCTCATTCACATGCCGATTATTATATTGATTTGCTTATTGTTATGTTTACTCACCATACTGGTAATTTTACTACTTAATCTATTTGATATTAATGGTGGACGCAGACTCAGCTGTCAGCAATTACTGTGATTGCTGGCCTCCTTGTATAAAGCGGTTTGATTTGGCAGAATGACCAAAACAATGAACAAAATGGAGAAAAAAAGAACGAGAAAGCAGAACTGGACAGAAGAGCAGTGCCTGCTGTTGGCACAGCTCGTGGAGGAGAACAACGGAGTTTTAAGAGGGAAATTCGGTCCCGGGATCACGGCACAAGGGAAGAGGCAGACTTGGGAGCGCATTGCCCGACAAATCAATGCGTCGTTCCCTCTCCTTTTTTCGCACAAGCAATGAGTGTGAGAAGCGCTGGTACGTGCTGCAATCCAAAACGGCCGTTATTGCGTTACTACGCTGGGTGGGAAAAGTAAGCTCATCCCTGATGAGGTCAACCACAAACATTATCCCTGCACAATCAAGCCGGTAGCGTCTTATTAAATCACTGTCGTCAGAGAATATCTCTCCTTCCTCTCTGTGTTTCCGCCATCTTCTCTGTTTAAGACACTCTTAGGCTTCTTAAAAGTCCTCCTCCCTCCTCTTAACAGTTTTTCACCTTAGGAGCTCTCTTAAGGCCTAAGATGCTTTGTGAATAACTTTTATCTTACCAAGGGAAAATTCTAAGAAAAATCTTAGAATTCCTCAAATTCTAAGATGTTCTTAGAATGACGTCACTAAGAGCTACTTTTAGTCTTAGGATTCTTTGTGAATACGGGCCCTGATGATTTCTGCAAGCTTTGTGCTGCAAGCCTTAAATTATTAACCACTTGGGGTTCACTTGGAGCAAGAAACAGGCAGTGAACACTGATGCAACATCACCTTTTAAGTTTATATGTTGAACATGTAAGGAAACAGTGGCATCCAGCAGTTATCGAGCAACTTGATGATTCATTAAGAGTCTTTGTCCACCTGATAAATGTTAGTCCAGTATTCTCTCTTTTAGCTCTGTTTTTGGTCTTTGCCAACTCCTGAGGGAAACATCTGTCTCTTTAGCAGATAAATGCTCCACTATGTTCACTGGCTAGTCTCTAACTGTGTCTGACTGCTGTTTGCTGCTGAGCAGGTGGTGCATGGTGGCTTTTTACAGCTCTTTCCCCGAAGATGAGGCCAAGAAAGTGGTGAGAGTGAACCAGGACAATAAAGGTTCAGACAGATAAACAATGAGCTGAAAGGGGTGTTGAGTTACCTGCAGGGTTGTTGCGGTTGTTCGGTCGCCTCATCGGTCCAAGTCGATTGATAGGGCGATTGTTCCTACGTTGGGAGGCAGTGTTTGGCCTGAAGGGAGCTCCTCCTCTCCTTGGTCCCTAAAGAAAGAGAGAAAGGTTTAAGATTAATTCACATGCAGTCTGAATCAGATGAATCACATGGCAGAAAAGTCACAGATCTCTCTGACTCTTACCATGTTGCCTTCTCGCCTCCTGCCTTGCTCCTCTGGCCAGTTGGAGAATCCTTCATCTTCCATGTGAGACATTTCGTCCTTGTCACTGTACTCTAAACCCAGCTCGCTGACAGAAACATGAGCACAATTTACAGAAGATTTAAGTCAGTAAGTTCTTAGTGAATGAACCACACATTTTACTGACCTGTTTTATTTCTACTTTGTGTTTATATCATTTGTTTGTGAGCTGTTTTTATCCCTTGTTTCTTTTTCACTGCCGTGCAACTAATCACCATTTGGGGACAAAAAGATTGCTTGATTAATTGATATTTTGTCATAGTTTAAAAAGCCCTAAATGAAAAAAAAAAAACAAACATTACTTACTTACAGTAGCATGAATGTATAAACATGCAGGTAATGAAATTCAGTAGTGAAAGAAGTACTCTGATCTTTTTCCTTTCCCATTTTGTTTGCTGATGATACCAACATGATCTTATCACACACTGACCTACACACTCTAATAAATAACACATATGAAGAAATGGTGAGAGCTGCAAGACGGTCTCAACTCAATAAGCTCTCATTAAATGTTAAAAAAAAAAAAAAATCAAATTTGATATATTTCTAATTTTTCAAGTTTCTAACACTTGTTTTCTAGACATTTTAGTTGACCAAAAATTAAATTGGAAAACACATATCAATTTTATTTGTAACAAAATTGTGAAGTCACTGGGGATCATCAGCACAAAGTTTTGTAAATGTTTCTTGTCCCTGTTTGATTTATGGTAACATTGTAACATACCCCTCAAATCTGCATAAACTTTATTTGCTGCAAAAAGATTTTTTAAGATTGGCAACTTTCTCCAATTTCAATGAGACCACTGTTCCACTCTTCAGGAAAGTGAACCTTCTTTCAGTATGTGATATAAATCATCAGATAGATATGTGTTTATATATAAATATTATTCTTACCTTTTCCCCTACCATCATCGTTTAGCGATTTCTTTAAATTCAATTCCCAAATTCATTTCTACTAGTCCATACCCACTGAGTGCACAGTTGCCCACGTACAGTTGTTCCTCATGAGGAGAGGCATCTCTGTGCAAAGTTTCATGTCTCTTCGACATACAGTACATGAGATATGCCCGTTCAAAGTTTGCAATTTCAATCGGTTGCTATAACACCCCCTTTGGCCAATTGATGTAATATTGCTTCATTCACATCCTCCCATGACCCTCTACCACTGTGCCAAATTTCACATGGATTGACCAAGTCAGTGAGGAGAAAAACGTGGAACAGACACACAGACAGACACATCCACAGACAGAGTTTTCGTCATTATATAGTAAGATAATACTAGACAGGTTAATCAGCTCCACCATCTTTTTTTTTTTTTTTTTTACAAAACATGGCCAGTTCTCCCTTAGGTATCGTGGTGTACAGATTTAGTACACCAAAGTATATGTTCTCATGAGCTCTTTATCATTTCATTACATTTAATTCATGATTTCTAATTATTTCTTGGCTTGTATATAAATATATTTTCCCCCTTTTTTTTACGTATTTCTTGGATTTTACTGGATTACTTTTCACTGACTGCTCAGTGTGCTTGCTGCTTTCATTTATCTTTTGTTGTATTTTTCTGTATAATGTTATTTTGGTTTTTGTTTTACTTTTCACTTTTTTTGTCGTTGTCTATCTTTTTCCCTAAGTTCAGGGGAGGTCCATTTGTATGAGTCTGTGGCTTCTTGACCTCTCCTGACACATTTCTTATTTTTTCTTTTTTACTATTTGGATTTTATGTAGCTTTATGTGTGTGCAAATTAAATGATATAATAAATAAAAAAATACAATGTAACTGTACTCCATCACAAGTCAAAGTCTTGCATTCAGAATGTTACTGTCTTAATGCACTGTGCTCTTGTTTAAGTCTTTCCTCCTTCAACTCACTTAAAATGTTTACTACCATAATGGTTACATCTAATAAACAGCAATAAGGAGTTTAATCTCACCTGACTGGACCCAGGGGGTGTTGTGACATGCTGTTCCCTGATATTGTGACTTTAACCCCCTCCAGCCTCTCCTGTCTCCTCCTCTCCAGGTCGTGCCTCAGATCCCCCGGGCCTCGAACCGGCTGTTGTCACATCATTGAAAATCATCCATAAAGACGTTTTTTAACTAGATAACAGCAGCTGCTGTCAACAGTCTCCACAGGTTGCCAAGTGTTAAACAAAGGGAGGTTTATTTACCTGCAAGGGTCCCAGTCTGGTGAACAGAGGCTCATCGTCTTCATCAAGCAGCGAGTTCATGTTTAAACTGAAGCCTCTGTAGAAAAAGAAAGTCAGAGAGGAAAATAAACATTATCTTTACTGATTCAGCACCTTTTAAAACAAAGATTAAACATTTAAAAACTAGAAACAATAATACCCAGTAAATAGTAAAATTTAAGTACAAAAATATAAAGTATGTTAAAAGAAATAAAAATTAAGAAAATGGTTAAGACACATCCGTCCTGTAGAATTAAATCTAGGAGTTACATTACTCAAAGAGGCCCTGACTATAAAAGCACAACCACAGGAAATCTACAGGAGGATCTCAGGCAGAAAGACACTTATCTTTCTTTGACAAGCATCTACTCACTAAATTACTCCTGCACCTTTTAGTGCACAATATTAACTTGTTAATATATTAACTTGTTAATATTGTTAACAACAAACTTAATTTTTTTTTGCTGTTGTTTGCCTAGTTGATCACACATACTCAAGTTTGTCTTGACGGGATTATGATTACAGGATGTGAACATGCACCACCATTATAAACACTTTGATCACCAAAAACAATAAAACCCGTAAATCACCCTGCAACATACCGGTTCGAACTGAACCTCTCGTCCAACGTCAGCTCCTCTGTCTCCTCTTCAAGGTAGCCGCCTTTTTGGGGCGATGAGAATCGCTCATTCAGGGTGACCCCACCATCTCTGAAATACTGCTCTGTGAACGCAGACAAGAAACATTAACAATTTAAATATGTCCAGTATTTGTGGTATAAAGACAATCCAATCAGGGTCCTGGAGTTTCTCTTTATATACTTGGCAAAAGAAAAAATCATTCTGTAAAGCAGTGGAACACTTTATCAGGGCGTTCTGCACATTATGACACAGGTTAATAGCACTTACCAACTGTGGTCATCAGATTATATACTGATCATACATATAAAATCTATCATTTTCGAACTGATTTTGCTGCTGCAGTTGTAGTAGAAACCAGTATAAGGCCTGTAATCAACTGTAAAGCCACATCATATATAGATCTTTGATAGTGTAATATGCCTGTAAACTCAAGACTGTATTTGTGTGGCTGTAGATTAGATATAGCATGTGTAATCAGGGATCTGCAAAGCTTCCTTTTAGACTGTTTTTGTGCAACAGAGTACATGCAGGCACATCCTATATTAAGTTCATATTGCATACAGAGAGTTGCCTTTCTTTGGACAAGCAAAGCTGTTATAGGTGACTGATTAATACTAGGGATGTCCCGATCACATTTTTTTGCCCCCGAGTCCGAGTCCGAGTCATTTGATTTTGAGTATCTGCCGATACCGAGTCCCGATCCGATACTTTGGCAATGCAGTAAAATTTTTTACTGTAGATTAACTGTATCATCCCACTATTTTTCTGTTCTTTGTGCTCTACTAGGGATGTAACAATATCACAATATCACAATATTACAATACTGTACCCCAATAACAAGCCCATGACATTTATTGCAGTATTGTAAGACGTCATGATATCAAAACCTCACTGTATGATAATACTACAGTAGCTCCACGGTATAATATTAATTCCATTATCCATTAGTCAACAACAAGAACATTTGGTCAAAAATAAAATAGCTTATCATGCCTTTCTCAATCACCAGCCTCTTTCCCTTTATCCCTCCCTCACCTGCCTGTCTGCCCCCACCTCACTCACTCCCCCCCCCACCTCGCTCCTTCTCCCTCCCTCATTCCCTCCCTCACCCAGCTCACCTCACTCCTTCTCTCTCTCTAACTTTAAATAAATACCTGGTTCTGTATCTGCCGTCACACAACAGTTTGAGAGTGCAAAAGAGCTACATCTGAACGCCCCCCATGCAGCCCATCTTGCTTTAGACAAATAGGGAAAACCCTGACATGTATCTGATATGTCATAGGCCTATATCCGATCCCTGATCGGGATGTAACTTCCGATTCCGATCGAGTCTGAAACCACGTGATCGGCCCCGATTTCCGATCACGTGATCGGATCGGGACATGCCTAATTAATACACATTGGTGAATGACTGCCAAGATGTTCATGTGTTGCATTCCTGAGTGGACTTCTTGCATTGTGATGCTCTCCAGTACTCAGCCTGGCTGAATCAGGAAGTAAATAACAGGCTGGGTAAAGTTAAGTGTTGCGACCTTATTAGGAGATGTTTGTAAGCAGAGACCATCTGAATAGTTGAAACAGTAACTTGATCCCCTTAGGGGAGAAGATGATAGCAGGATCCTCCAGAAGGGAACTGGAGAATAGGGTGCTTGATGAAGGTGGGACTGTGGACCAGAATAGAAAGGAAGGAAGGGGGGCACTCAAAACAAAATCTAAATAAGTGACTAAAAACCAACCCACCGGGAGCGATAACTTTGCATCTTATCCCGCATCAGATCTTTGTGACTGTAATAAAGATTTTGAAGCTTCATATTTGCCTCCAAGAATCTTTTTTTTGATTGGAACTTTTGACTGGGGAAACCATAAAATCTTTTGAGATTTTCCAACACAGTAAACTGCTGATTTCGCAGCTTCCACCTGACCCCAGGAAAGTTTGATGTTTAAGCTAGTGTTGCTCTTTTCTTGAACTAGGCTGCGATGTCACTTGGATAAAAACTCTATAAACAATGGTAAATAATTTCTAGTCTTCCAACCACTTAAGTGCCACTTACATTCACCCATTCACACACACATTCACACACTGGTGGCTGAGGATACTGTACAAGGTGCCACCTGCTACTTAGTTTAAACCCACTCACACACTGGAGGAACAGCCATTAGGGGCAAGTTGGGGCTCAGTATCTTGCCCAAGGATACTTCCACATGAAGACAGGAGGAGCTGTGGATCAAACCGCCGATCTTTTGATTAGTGGACGAACCGCTTTACCTCCTAAGCGACGATCACCCTGGCATTAAATTTTGTGACTGGTACCACTTTTGTGGGAGGTCTCCAATACAAATGGGAGATCATATTCTGGTTTGTGCCTGTTTGTGGTACTGAAATTTTTAAATTCTAGTGCTTTACTTTTAGATATCTTAACACCAATTACATATACCAATATTTGTCCTCATACAGCCTGTTTGTGCTAAACAATATGCTTACCTGCATCTGCTTGAATATTTATTTATTACAACTCAATCACATTTAGTACACCTAAATTTCAACATAGTTATATATACTATTTTTCCCCCCAGCCAAACATTATGCATGCTGCACTGACCTTTGACATGGTGCACCAGTGTGATGATTTCCTGGGCAAAAGTCCCAGTGTGCATGGCACTCTCCCGGTACGTCCCAGAGTGCTCCAGCATGGGCAGGAAGTCCAGACGCTGGCGACCCACATTGACCAGGTCTAAAGAGAGCTGCCTGTCTGAGGAGTAACACAGGGAGCTGCACAGGAGAGAAAGAAGAATGAAGCCCAGTCGAGAGGTAAAACTTGTTCCCATCAAGATAAGCTCTAAATACGTACAGAGAAAATAAGTTTAATTTACTTTAAACTCACAATTTTCATTGCAATTTATGTCTATTTTCAACAGTGGGAGAACACTGCAGACCCTTAAATAATTTTACAGTTTTTGCCTATTTTCAGTATTGTGAGAGGGCTGACAGTTATGCTACTTGATTTGTTTTGTATGGACATATAAACATCATGGTTAACTGACAATGGCTGAACTACTACTTCGAAAGTCTCAATGCCACTAATTACTGTGGCCAGCAGAAAAATGGTTTTGTCCTGAAAGACAGAATATTAATATACTCAGTGTGAGCATATATTTGTATATTTTACCAATATGAACTTGATTGAAAAAAGATCTCTTTCCCAATCACATCACTAAAAAAGAATAAATAAAGCAACATCTTTACCTTACCCAACAAACTTACCTTTGACGATTCACAAATGCTTACAATACCTACATCCTATATGTTGAATTAAAGAGGGGGATGTTCACCCTTTAAATGCACACGGAATCATACAAATTCATATCCTTTTTATAGATTTTTATAAAGGCGTAAAGTGTAAACAGAAAATTATTCCTCTGCTAGACTTTCCAAGAGGTATTATTGTTGGCATCACTGTCACAAAGACAAATCGAACTGTCTTCCATTCTCCATAGAGCCTAGACACTCCCAGTTTTCACACATACTTTGCCATTTGTGCTACTGGGGATAGTAACTGCAAAGAGCTTACATTGATTCTCTTTGGTAATTGGGGATAGCTACTGAGGAAAACATAAGCTCTAGCCTTTTAATGTTTTGGTTGCACAGTGGCTGAGGCCCTTTCTTTATGCTGTAGAGTGAGCCTTCATTTTCAGGAGACGGCACCCAGTCTCCTGAAAATTTACACTGCACACAGTGAAGGTGAGGTAACCAATCTAAAGCCGATGCTGTCATTATTATTTAGCCATTTCATTTTGCACCCAACATTTACTTTATAATGATCAGCTTAAGCACAAAAAACTTGTCTATGTCCACTTTAAAGTGAGAGCTGGAGGAGACCAAGATTCCCTCTCTCTTTTTATCAGACAGGTGAGTTAAAGGCTGGGTGAAAGTTCACACTTCTTTCTTCAGACATCTTACAACCACTACATTGGGTGGTGGACTCCAGTCATGTTGTCCAACTCCTTACTTGAATACTGCCAACATTTTTCTCAGCCATCTTGTACAATCTTGATCAGCAATAACTCCTTGTGCTCTTGTTCCTCCAGGATTTGACTGATCCACTTTCAGCTTTTGAGGCCACTTGCTCTTGATTTCTTTTATGAGCAGGATCGAGGATACTGTTCATACTGTAAATTTCTCCTTTTGACAGCAATGATGACACTTTTTTCCTCCATTGATCAGAATAAATATGTATATTCATGATTACGATAACACTTCAGTTTGATGATGTGAATATTGACGGCTTCATTTTTTCCTTTCAATTCTTGAAGTTGTCCTTCTTTCAGATTAAGATCTTCACATTAATGGCTTCACAGTATCAATGACACTTCAACTTCCTCCATTTTCCAGATATGTTGATTATATCTACGTACATGATTGTCCATTTCTGATTTTCCCATCACTGATGATGCTCTAATTTCTGCTCTCTAAACACTGATATTTATCTTCAAGGCTATAATTTCATTCTTCCTTTTAACAGCGCAGATGTGCTCCAATTCATCAATTTCCCAGCATTGATAATTTGAGGTTCAATTTCTTCTTTTAAACACTTGGATATTTCTCGTTTTCACGTCATTTTGATGGCAGTTAACACGGCTGCAGTCCATACATCGAATCCATATCCAATCATCATTATGATGATAATGTTCGTGGCTTCTGTATGGAAAATGTTTATGTTCTGTGCTTTGATTTCTCCTTTCAAAAGCATTTTTTATGTTCATGGCTTCAATTTCTTCTTTTCAATGGCCTTCTTTACCAGCTATTTTCACAAGTAACTGAGATGCACAGCTCCTGCTGTTCAATGAAATCAGATGCAGGTGATTTCTTTTTTTGTTCATCCAATAGTTACTGTAGCAAGTTGGACAAAAACAAGACTCCTTAATTGTTCATGTTAGTCTAAACTTGAATGTGCATTCACACTATGGACATGCTCTTCCCTAAATTAGTTTCCGATTAAAAAGATACTGCCATTCTTCAAATATGTCTCAGTATTTGGCCAATTAAAGCAGTAGTTGATCTGCTCCATATACTCCCCTTCTTATCCACACCTTGGCAAATCATGCAAGAACATTTTTTGACCATAGTGGGTGTGTTTGTTTCCACATCCTCCACCGATAAATATATGCAGGTTCTTCTTATTTTCAAACATCAGATCTGGCATGTGGACCAACAGCTCCTGTCAAGCTCAAAGACATTCATCTTCCTGTCAAATATCTTGATTTATCCTGTTTAAATATTCCAAACACTTTAAAATCTTCATTGCAGAGCGCTTTTCCTTTAGCAACTGATTCCTTTCTCCGGTGTGCTCAAGTGATATTCCTCCATTACAATGCAGTGATGTTGCTTAATTGCCAAAACATGGACATCTTTCAATCTTTCTTTGACTTTTGTTAGCGCCGTTTGACTTCAAAGTGACATTTTTCAGGAAACAGACATTTCTCCCCTCAGTTTCAGTAGTGTTGGGCTTATATTTCCTGATCCAGCTTTACAGACCACAACTGAAGTTTCTTCAAATGAGTCAGAGAATTATAAGCACAGACTGTGGAAATCAGCTCAACCAGGAGCAAGATGTGCGGCACCAACCAGGGGTGTTTAACAGAAAACGTGCATTGGAGAGATCATCACATATACGGCGTTATTTGACAAATTGTGCCCTCCATTTTCACTCCAAAAAATGTTTTCCTTTTCTTGAGGTCTAAGACAAACCAAGAAACCACCCGACTGAGCGATGACATACTTCAACATCCGTTCAAACAGACTTTTATAAAAAGGTAATGTTTGCAGGGTGTGTCCTTTCACAGCATGTTTCAGGAAAGAAAAGTATAACAAAGAATCAACACCTGGTTCAGGCTTGTCCACATTGACTGTGTGGTGGTCCTTTTCTACAGCCAGTATGATTTTAAAGTCTTGCTTCTTCTGTGTCCTGAAACACAACGCAATGGATGGCCAGTGGTTAACACGTGGGTACATCTGCTGCCTTGTGGTGCATGGCCTTTGACTGAATCCTGCCATAACCACCTCTCATTTATCATCTTTTCCATCTGCCTCTCAGCTTGCTGATGCTTTCATTCAAGGCAACAATACTGTGTGCATTTGTCAGCCATCATTCAGATTATCCAGTGTTACCTATATTTTAATTTGTCCAAATGGTCCTCAGTAATTGTTTTTTGTCAGGTTTTCAATTCAGTCAGTGGTCTGCTTTTGGAGGAGTTGTGCTCACCTGTATCTGGCTTTGTGACTGAATACCAGATCCTTCCATTTCATCAGTGCATTAGCACAAAAGCCACACGAGAGCTGTTGGCCTGTTAATTCTCTCAGGCAAGTTTCCAGCTGGTGAGTGATTCCTCTTATTTGTGTAGAATTGTACATGAATGATTTGCAAGTGATGCCAGCTTGTTTGTAACATCACTTTCCCAAAGACTCTCCAAAAACTCTTCAGTAATGTATTGTTCAACAGGAGTTTGATTTCTTCATGTGTGAACTTTTCCTGTGCTTCTACAGTAAAAGTAAAGCAGCATGTGACTCTTCCTGGTGTCAGTCCACAAATAATCTGAAAGATGCTTGTCTCACAGTATGCGTGAGAGAACACATTTCAAGAAGAGGCACAAAGTGCAACAGAATCTGGTTCGATGAAAATGTATGTTCTGTCAGGGGATTTTCAACATGCTTGCACATTTCTTGATTCTTCCTTCAGCAACTTTCCATGTGCTCTGAAAAAAAGTGTGAACTTTCCCCCTCACCCTTGATAATCTGATTGAAAAAATACTCTACCTGTTTTTGTTTACTGGTCGGCTCATGTCCACTTTGATGGTTAACGTTTCCTCTGAGACAACAGTCATGTTGTTGTTTTTCTGGTCGTTCCATCCTCGCTCCCTCTGACGAGGCATTTTGGGGTCCATGTCATCTCTCTGAAGGTGCTGGTCCAGACGTCCAGGCCTGTGAGGTTCCCACTGCTGAGGTTGGTCTTCTTCTACCCAGTCAGGCTCACCTTCATGGGGATCCTCATAAGAATCTTCCCTGAAGGGCTGGTCATGTGGAAGATCTTGATATCCCTGTGAGGACTGCTGAAAGCGTGGTTGACTCCTGGGTGGTCCAGTTCTTCCACCCTGCCCGCGACTAAACTGCCCTCTCGCTGGACGAGGACCACCCCTCCCCCTGTTGTTCATGACACCACCTCGATTACCATATCTCACAGGGTTTGGTCTATCTTGTGGCACAGGGTTCCGCCTAGTTTCGTTATAGTTGGAGTCTCTCCACTTATCTTGAAAATGGTGTCCTCTTGCAGCTTCCCGATCATCCAAACTGCTGTCCGACATCCTGAAACGCTCCTGAGAGGAGCCTATTGGACGGGGACTCCTCTGTCGATTAAAGTCAGGGTCAGGACCTCCGCGATCATCAAATTGTTCCCGCCGTGAAGGTTCTCTTCTGTTTGTGATGCCATGATCATGTTCAATGACAAGTGGTCCCAAGTGCCGATTGTCTCCACGGGGGAGGCTCCCCTGAGTGTCTCCTCCAAACCTATCTCTGGGTGTGTCCACTGAGTAATGCTGTTCCCCAAAGTCCATCTCATTCCTGTACCTGTGACAGCATAAGAGGATGGTTCAACAATTATTCATGCTTATTATTCAACTTCACATCTGGTTTAAAATGTATACTCTAAATTAGCTTTGAGGTCATGTCACAGTCTGGTATCACATATCTGATTTACATACTACCACCTAACATGTAGCTGTAACTCCTTCAACATTTAAAGTGCTGTTTGCATTAACAGCTAGAGTGTGTAAAACGTAAGACATGCAGATTGTTTTTAAGAATCAGAAGGTTGCGCAGAAGAAAACTTGAAGCCATGCAGACTACTAGTTAGACTAGCATTTTGTATTATGGAAAATAAGGCATGATGACAAACAGTGAGGAATTTGCTCTAAGGAAAATTAGAAAGATGAGAATCCTCTGCACTCTTCGTTTCCTTGCGACAGTGCTGGAAAGCATTTTGCTTAAAATTTACCCAAGATGAGTGGTGTCATCCATTTCTCTTCTTTGCCTTTTAAAGGGAGGGGTCCTCTCTTGATGTGAATCCTCTCTTCGCCTGTCCCTATCAGGACCCTGTGTGTTCCTCCTCCCTCTTTCCCTACCTGCTCCCGCTCTTTGGTCGTCTGACCTTGCACTGGGACTGAGGTCACTGAACCTCCCTCGACCTCTGCCCTCCTCCTCTCTCCTCCAGCCTAACCCAGGCTCTCTCTGCTGGTGGTCTGAGTGAGACCTTGGTGTCTGTGGCAATCTTTCTCTTTTCAACCTCAGAGGCGACTGTGGCGACCTCCCCCGGTTTTCAAATTGCTGGAAGAGTTCTTTGAAGCCTCCTCTGCGTTTCTCTACTTCTCCTTCTCCATCATGTGGTGGGGAAAGCCTCCGGTCATCATCAAAGCCCATCCCATCATGATGGGGTGATGGCCTCCTACGGTAAAACTCCTCCTGATTTGGATGACGTTGATGCCTAAACCGACGGTCATCTGGAAAAGGAGGAGATCTTCTCTGGCCTTCAGGGTACATGTCCTCCCTGAAGTAGTCCCAATGTTCTTCAGGATCTTCTCTGTGGCGGTAGCTCCTGTCCGACGGATTCCCGTCCAGTTCGGCAATGACTTTGTGAGGATCAAAGTCGGGTTCCTCCCATGGGAACCTCCTAAAAAGTAAATTTCAAAAAACTCATGTCACCACAAATATCAATAAATCAGCAACCACATTGTAATTTAATACAAAAACAAAACATAAACAAGTTGACTGCAGAGCATCATTTTTAAGTTTTATGTTACACACATCTTCTGGGAAACAAATATGAAAATAAAATAATGGCAATGCAATACCTGTAACGTGGTGATCTGGACCGTGGTCTTGACATTTTGTCAACCTTTAGGGAAAGTAGAGTTTTTAGTTTCAAAATTTAAGTTGCAGGCAAAACACAACTTACCACAGTACAGGCAGTTATTACTAAACTACTTTGTCTAATAAGTTATGGAGGAGAATTCTTTGCTCAATTTATTTAATGTTACAGAGCATGACTGACAGTTAAAAAACACTGTCCTATTTCTGTCAACAGGGACAAGTGTCTACCAAGGGTCACCACTACTGGCACCAAGTTTCAGAAGTTGAAATTCAGCCTAAAATAATATCTTATTTCAATAATAGAGGACACCTGTTTTAATAAGTGAATCTGAACAATCCTCAAAGTTTGAAGTTGAACAGCGGCGCGACAGACTGTAGTTATGATGTTATCTGGAGACAAATCTTTAGTTGCTCAAAAAGAAAAGATAATTTAACAACTGCTAGGAGACCATGGCTGGTTTTCTGAGATACAAAGGTATTTTCAGTTTTCCCAAGTTTTTTCACCGTCGTTTAAATAGAGGTTCACTACAAAACTGGTCAAAGCTAGTTTTTTTTTTTTTTTCATTTTTCGCCATTAAGGTCTTTTTGTGGGGGAATGTAAGGGTCCATTGCACAGCACAGCCCCATGATAAATAAAACTGACTTGACTTGATTTTATTATTGCATAAGTTGTTTAAATTGTATTTCCAAGTGACCTTTAATAAAAAAAATAACTCAATGAGGCATTTAAGTCATTGCTTGACAGGTTTGAGGAGTTTGGTTTCAGGTAATGTTATCACAGCGGAAACATAAATACATTTGCCATGTTGTGCTATATACTAACATAATAACATACTCTTGTACGATATCAGACAGAATTGTCAAATCGTTTCAAGTCAACTCAGTGGGGTGGGCGGATCCCAAGGTCTGGACCACATTAAATCTCCAGTGGCTCAGATTTAATGTCCAAAGCCACGGTAATAATACAACAAAGGACAATTTATGAGCGTTAACTTCTTTCACGACGACATGTGAAATATTACGTTAATTTTGAATTTCATTAACAAACAAATGTTGTTACTTAACTTACCCATAGCTTAACAAATGCCTTTAGTGAACACACAAACTAACTTTAGCTACACGCCCTATTAAGTTTAGAGGGTGATTGTCCTTACCATGACATGGGTGGTGCCATGGTAGTGATTATATTATATTATACTCCAAAAACCATCAAAACATGATCAAAATCTCAAAAAAATAATAAAATAAAGCTAACTGCTAACTGGCTAACGCTAAAGCTAACTGGCAACTAGCTAAGGTTACGCAGTTGTCTTACCTTCGTCCTCGACACGCACCGGGCTACCGCGGCTAATGTTAGCTAAAACGACGACAAGTACACCAAAAAACCCAAATATACCAGTACGTTCTATAAGAATAGTACCCTATTTGCTATCAGATATAAACCAAAATTAGCTGCACATGTCGTGTTTTTCATTAAGTGTGTAAGAAAATGGCTGTTGACCCGCTAACAGCCCATGCAGAGATGCATCCATAGAACCGCCGCATGAGGAACTGAGTAGAACGCTTCCGGTAAGGTCTTTTCAGTATAAAAGTAACTGTTGAGCAAATCCACTGTTCTATGCCTTCTATCAAGCTATTATATGAATTTATTATGTAACTATGCATAAAATATTAATATTTCAAGCAATTCTTGTTCCGTTTTTTCATCTTATTATTAATATTTTACATGACTCAAATTATTTTGAAAAAGTGACTATCAGCACTCAAAGTTAGTTCTGGCTCATGTTCGCCAGGGCAAAAATGAGCTGCTGGGCCCAAACCAAGCTCCATGTCTCCCACTCTCTTTGCAATGTGCACAACCCTATGCTTGTATGGCACCTTACCCCAGATTTGCAGAAGGATGCTGCAGAGGAATTTAAAGTTGCACTCATTGGTTCCCTAAGTATGTGCCAAAGAACTGTTGAAATTTGTATGTCATCATCTATATGCCAGTGTCAGGGCGTAATTAGTTATTGTTTATAGTTACCCCTGCTTTCTTGGTTTGTTTGTTTATTTTAGTTTACTAATAACATTTGTCAACATACTTTTGTTTTTTCCTTGTGGTAATTTCATTTCTTGTGTTTTATATTTTATATTTGCTTTTGTGTTGCATATTTAATTATGTGTTTCTCTTCTATGTTGTCTGTCTGTAATTTATGTTGCTGCCTGTCTTCACCAGGACACTTTTGAAAAGGAGATTTTTATTCTCTAGACTAGAGGTTTGTCTGGTTAAATAAATTGTCTTCTTCGGTTCAGTATTAACACCGTTGACATAGTGAGTAAACTATTTGACTCGTCAGTTTTTACTTGTGAATTTAATATCTTAACTTACCATTACTTTTCCTGTCATTATCCTGACCAAAACAGGTATGTTCCCTGGGAAATGTTTATAATGAATAACATTGGGTTTTATTGTGACCTTTGTCTCAAACATTAACAATGGTGCACATCAGGGAGCTTTTGGAGGCCCAATACTCGCTGTCCGGAACCACCAAAATACCACATCCACAACCTCTCTTGTCCACAGTTTGAGAAGAGAAAAAAAATTAGATGGTTTATGTACAGTATGATCAATAATCAATAATAATAACCTTCAGTTAAATGCCTGGAATTATTATAGATTATTAGCTTGCGGTTTGTGGCCAACTTTGGTCGAACTTTTTTCAAACTTGAAAGGCCAGACAGGAAGTTGTGTTCTGTTATGTAGATGTATATACATATACGATCTGATATTTTTGGAGCAAAAACAGCTGTGCATGAAACTCGAGTAAAAATTAATTATTCACTTCAACTTTTGCAGGTCAGTTTTAATTTCAGTGCAGCATAAAGTCAACACACAGTGAGATATAATGATAAATAAAAGTGGCTGCATTAAGCCCTACACTACATTTGTCAGTTCATCAGTCACTTGGTATCAATGTCAGTGATTAAACATCTTGTACAGCTTTGAAATCTTTAACAGTACTCTTCATTTCATATCCTCAACCCAAATTGTCTGTTTGCCATTATTATGCATTTGTTTATTTATCCAGCTCACTGACACAAATGGCTTGATGAAGTTTATTGTTCTTTTTCAGCAGTTATCCATGCACCACATCTACAATGATATATTCCACCAAGCTGCAGTGTCACAGAGTTAAGTAATATTAGGATAAACATTATGTCCTTTATTTTTACTTCATATACAAGGGGACCCTGGAGACCCTCTTACGATGAGCTTCAGCAGAATCTGGAGGAATAATGAGCTAACATGGAGAGAGGGACGCCAGCAGGAGAGTGAAAACATAAAATGAAGGTTGCAGCAGTGACGGGGAAACAGTTTTTCCCCTCAGTGTGGCACCTCGGAGGAGCAGGAGAGCTGCGTTTCCACAACAAAAAGGTTTTTGAAGAGCTCTCTTTGCACCTGGATTCAAATTTGATTCATTTCAATCTGTTCTTACATCCCCAAAAGTCCCTGTGACTCAGTTCATACTGTCAGCCATAGTTGCATTAACCTGCAGGGGCAAAAATGTGCTGTGGGCCCCTGCTGAGACTCCACACTAACACCACTACCACCAGCTAACTTGTCACCTTAAAGTTAACAAGTTAAACAGAGTTATATAAGAATATACATTAATTGAGCACACTATAAATGTAAATAAAGATGTTGTCATTGGACACTGATGTCATGTTCTCAGTCTTATTTCTAAAAAACTGGAAGGTTTATAATGACATGACAGAGAATACATTAAAGAAGTTGTAGTTTGTGTTTTTTAAGGCTGATTCAAATATTTTTTGACTGTTTTGATGGAGATCAATCACATAAACTATATAAGAAATTAATGAAATGCAGATTTTTTTTTTTTTTTTACTAAAATGATATATCTTGCACCAGACCATATTGTAAATGAACAGCTGTATAAATAGAATGTGATTTTCCAATCTGTATTACATCCACACATTTTGTGGAGGGTTTTATAAGCAGATTCTAATATTCTTCTATGATTTTAAGGCAAACAAATTACATTTGAAAAACTAAAATAATGTAAGATTCTCCACCACAATATTATACTTGGTACTGAATCATAATGTGAGGAGATAAAAAGGAGAAAAAATACATAAAACAGAATATTTAAATAGATGATATAGACTGTGATTTTCCTTACATACTCATAAGTTTGGTTGGTGGCTGGTCAAATAAACAGATAAAATAACGTAGATCAATTAATTAGTATTCTTAACCAGAATGACATGCCTGATACCAGGCCGTAATGGTGGGAGATGGAATCTACAAAAATAATATAACTGAACAAATAGAACATGATTTTCCTTAAATACTATTGAATAAATACAGTGAGTCTGGTTGGTGATTTTTTTTAGGTGGGTGGGGCTCTGCTAGGGGAGTTTGGATCTATTACCTCAGTTTTTCTACAATCCTGCCTATGGCCTTGTTCATCCACACAATAAACCTGGGGCTTTTGGGGCCCCAGAGAGTCTGTGGCCCTGCCAGTCTGTGGTGTAGTGGCATGCTTTGCCCTGCTGGTAATCCAATGTTGCTTTCATATAATTGCCATTTTCCCCTCACTTCCTTGTGATCTGTCTGATCAGTTGCAGCTTAAAATCAAACACAGACTTGCTCAGGGGATATTTTTTTGTTCTTGTTTCTGTACATCCAGGGTCTTTCTGTCGAAAAGGGCCTTTAAACAACAAAAGTGCACATGCTGGATGAAACAGCCTGAGGGCGAAGCACAGTGGAAGGGTTGTTTTGACTGCACAGAGGTTTAAGGCCTCAGAGGTGATGAGCTGCGAGGTGGCCGCTGTCTAACCCCAGACTCTGTTCTGAATTGGTGAGGTATATTTTAGTTGGGGGGGAATGAGCTGAGGTGGAGATACCAGCATCGTTAGAGCAGTGAAACACATAACTACTGTAAGTGCACACTATAAATTGCAGCTAGCGTGGTTACAGTCAGTGCCAGACAAATACACAACACACTGTGTGAATATTTTCCCAACCTGCAGATAAAAATACAGGACATTTGACATAATTTTTTAGTTCCCCTCCAAGGTTTTCTTCATGTCCTCTCTGTGGGTCGTCCACAAAATGTCCAGCGATCAAGTGACAAGCAGCAGAAAAATCAAAGCGACAGGCTAAGTGTTATGGGTCAGCAGTGGGGTTATAATATCAGTCATTGATGGGGTTTTTTTTCTCCAGCGTCAGGGTGACAGGAAATCTACAGCAGTCTGAGTTTTTTATAGAAGTAGGAGTCGCTGTCAGCAGAAGAGATAAACACACAGGAACCATCAGAAACACTGACAGACAGAGAGAAGCTCCCACACACTGTTCAAGTACAGCTACAACCATTAACAGCTCAACTAGCTAGTCCTCACTGAAGATGCTACACAGGATTCACACAATAGTGTCTGTTTTTACAGCTTCCCCTCCAGATAAACTGCTACAGAGACGCTCCCTGACTCCTCCACCCAGTCGGATCTATTTACAAAGTTTTACAAAAGCAGGGATGAGATATTAAAGCAGGTGATAACTCGAGTGATATTTTGTGGCAGTGCATCTAGGCAATACTGGTTCCCACAGGTACAGAAGTAAAAAAAAAAGTCATGAAAAGATTAAGTGCAATGTCAGGGAACTTTGTGAGATAATTAAATGCAAAAAATATGTAAATGAAAAGTGAAGTGTGCAGATTCCGGCTGCCACTGAGCTTGAATCCTCAGCTCATGCCTTTACAGTAAGTTTTATAACATGAACAAAATTTTTGCTGTCAGTAACTGTTACCAACAGGTTTTTGGGTAATACAATTACATCTACGTCACATAAGGCGTTACCACCTGAAATTAAGTGTTTGTTGTTTAAAATTTTTTATTCATCCACACCGTGCCGACTCTGCCAGTGTGTCACCAGTAAAAATATCCCCGAAAGGTTTTTGTGTCTTGTCATGTCATTACAGGTGACATTAGGCAATAGAAGGGTGCCAGTGACCAGCACATCTGGGTGATGCTGTCCTGTGTGTTCACATATCTGTAACGTCTACTAAGTATCCCATTCTGGTTTGCATCTAAAGGCTGCTTGAAAGTAGCAGGGATAAGAAGACAGGCTCTGTTGTTTTTCCTCATCCAAGTGATCAACACATCTGGGTGATGCCGTCAATTGTCCTTTAGCGTGTTGGATGTTTTTCTAACCTCAGTACTTGTTTATTGTGTTTCATATAATAGGCCCACAAAAATGTATCCCCATCTCATAATTTATCAGACTTTGATCTGCTGCCTGCCCCTCCCTGTGTTAATATAAGAGGATGATTTTAATAAATGTGATTTTGATTAATTTTAACTTTTTGTTTATGTAAAGGTGATTTTAATTTTAAAAAAAAAAGGTAACCACTGCATGTGATTGCATGAATGGGCCAGATCTGCGCGCTGGAGCCTTCATTTGGCTGTACAATATCACCTACTGGCTTTGTACATTAATGACCCGCAATACAGTTGAGCTTTCTTTGCTTTGATCTGCTGCTGTTAAACAACATGACCGCCTTCCATTTTATAATGCCCAGTCTTTGGTGAAAGTAACGCAAAAGTAGTGTTATAAGTAACGCATTATTTTTCAGAAAAAGAGACATCGTAATGTAACTAATTATTTTCAAATGAAGGTAACTAGTAATATGTATTGTATTACATTTTGAAAGTAACTTTCCCAACACTGCTGTAGTTTCCTTAGTTTACAGCCGTTTCACTTCCCTAAACTTTTTCATGACATGCAACAATGCTGATCCCACTTCCTACTCTATCACATAACCATGTCATTAACATACTTCACATTATCTGCATGATTTTGTCAAACTGTGTTCTGTTTGTGAGAGTCAAAATTGCCCATGTGCACTGCCTCAAAAGTGGCCAGAAGCTTTACTGTTATACAGATGTGAAATTAGTTGTTCAGCATTTGTTCCTTGTGGAGATGATGATTGTTGTTGTTGTTGCAGACAGAGGTGACGGTTTCTTGGTCTGTTCCTCCTGTTTCTACCAGCTCCTGAGAAGGTCCTGAGAGAGAAACAAGACAAATTGGAAAACTGTTCAAACCTACCTTCAATTAATTTGTGATTTTAATCTTGTTTAATCTTTAATCTCACTGAAACACATCGCATAAGCGTATTTATGCCCTACTCAGCAGAGTGACTTAGAAAACTGTGGACATACAGCACCCCAGATTTTCCTGGGAAACTCCTGTTTGTCATTGCCCTCTCATGGCTTCCTCCTGGGGTCAATTCTCCCATATTTCTCCTGATTAATGACAAATTTTCACAGCTTTTTTTCTTTCTGTCATCACAACCAGTTTCTGGTACCGTACAGTGTATATAAGCCCTATGACTGTAAATGTCTATTGTGTCCACCAAGACAACATATAGTTACACCTAGTATGCACGCCATACAGAAGAGAGCTGCTCATGTCTTGTTCTCAGTGGGTGAGAAGAGAACAATACTCATGCAAATTTCAGATGTCCTGGAAAGAAGAATTTTTGTTTCTTTTGGAAAGTTTTAAAGGAAAGAGGCATGCATTTTGTAAAAACTGCTACATTTATTTATTTATTTTTTTATTAGTTTATGCCAGAGATTCGTACAAGTTCTTTCCTGAGAATTAAAAGTATGATTAAAAATATTTACCATAAAAATGCTGTTGCAGTGTACTAATTATTTTGTAATTTTCATTCTTTAAAAGTCACCAGAATACAGGCAACTCAAATGTTAAATGTGAAATCTAAATCCAAATGATTTTGTGGGCTTTAGTGGCGGCTAGTGATGATGAATATTGCAGATTGCAACCAGCTGAAACTCCTGGTTAGAATTCCTTCATTGTTCATTGTTCAAGAGGTTGTTACCAGGAGCTGAATTATCCACAGAGGTCTCTTTCTCTCCAAAACAAACAGACCAGGTGATAAAAACCAGTAAAAACACTGAATAAAGTAGTTTAATGTTACAAATGAGTGTTTCTCCCAAGCTGTTCCACTAGCACCTGGTAATGTGTGCTACGTTTTTTCTCTGATAATTTCTGATCCAGACGTTCCGGAGGTTATTACTGGGAGCTGAATTATCCGCAGAGGTGTCTTCCTCTCCAAAACAAACCATCGACCCAATGATATAAACTGGTAAAAACACTGAATAAAGCAGTTTCATGTTACGAATCAGTTTTTTCGGAAGCTCTTACCACAGAGGGTCTGTGAACTACAGTGGCCAAACCGAAAACACGATTCTTATTTTCAGGAAAACATACTTATCATATTGTATTCCATTTTCTTTCGAAATATAAATTGCTATATCTAAATGTTAAATCTAAACCGAAATGATTTTAAAACTAAAGTGATTTAGATTTTTAGATGCTGAGATAGCCTGACTTTTAACTCCAAAACACTGGATCCTACATTTCCCATGATGCAATGTGATAGCATCTTTCATAAGACCCTTCTTGCCTGGTAATCCCCCTGGTCTTTAATCCCCAGTGCCCCCAGTTTGTAATGCAGATTTTCTGTCAAAAAGTAAAGCTCCTTCAGAGGCACTGACAGCATTATAACACCATTGTTACAGGCTAAACAGCACTAACCATGATGAGTTAACAGATTTCTACAGGTAAAAGACATAGAGGTTCTCTACCTGGCTACTGAACGTCCAGTTTGCTTGGGCCAACACTGTGGATGAGCTGGGAGGATTCAGAGGCGGCGCTGTAGGGTTGAATCAACAAGTTCTTGTTGAGGTCTCCGACTCCACTGCCAGCCTGCAGTTTGGGGTAGGGGGGCGTTTCTGCGCCCTGTCGCTGTCCTCGCTGGGCATCAAGGTCCATCACATGCTCTTCAGTGAGAGGGGAAAACTCATGAGCGCTAGGCTGCTCGTCCCTGGACACTGGACTGATGGAGACAGATGGAGAACTTAAAGACACGATGATGACAGAGAAGGAATATTTTATTAAAAAAAAAATACACCTTAAGTCATTTAATACATATTTTAAGGTTTTGTTATGAGGAACAAAATGACATCTGGATGAAAGCACTCTTCATATTTGTGTACTTTATGTATAAATGTTAAAATTGAATCTGGCATTGTTCCCTGACAATATATAAATCTCTCTCATTACACCACCATCACCCAATACAAACTTTAGGCTATTTGAATGAGCAGCATTCAAAACTTTGCGGACAGTGCACAAATGTACAAGCAGTGAGAAAAAAACCAACAACTTACCTTCAAAAACATGCTGAGTTAATGCTAAAATTAATGCTTGATTTAAAAGTGAATGACATAAAGCATGAAGTTCCTCAGAACACAGCCAGAGGTGTCTGAAAACACCTCTGGACACTTAAAACAGTCTGAGAAAGACAAAGACGTCTTACCTGACGTCCATGGATTGGACTCCATCAGACAGCTCATCCACACAGCTCTTATTCTCCAGGGGTCCAAGCATGATGACAGGGGCTTCAGCTGGAGTCGGGGTGTCCTCCTCCGAAGGGATTGCAACTTCTGACCTTATGTCAGACGCTGTCAACAGGGGAAACTGATTGCTGAATATCATAATAGAGGTGCAGATCCAGTCCTGATTCAGGAACCTCTAACACTAGCGTATCTAAACACAGCACGACTTCTAACATCCAGTCTATATTTTTGGTTGTGTGATAGAACAAGAAAGTCTCCTCAGAGGAGATAAGACAAGCCTTTACTGATCCTCAGAGATAAATGAAATAAAAATCAGAAAAGAAATAAAAACAGTAACTATACAAGAGCAATTTAAGTAAAAGAAATTACAAGGCAAGGGTGACAGTGGTGCAGCAGCAAGAAATAATATCTGTAAACTGTGTGCCTGAGAATAATTATATATAATAATAAGTGATTATGTGATGGATACTTTGGGACATAATCTTATCTTACTATATAATGACGAAAACTCTGTGTGTGTGTGTGTGTGTGTGTGTGTGTGTGTGTCTGTTCCACGTTTTTCTCCTCACTGACTTGGTCAATCCATGTGAAATTTGGCACAGTGGTAGAGGGTCATGGGAGGATGTGAATGAAGCAATATTACATCGATTGGCCAAAGGGGGGGCGCTATAGCAACCGATTTAAATTGCAAACTTTGAATGGGCATATCTCATGCCCCGTATGTCGTACAGACATGAAACTTTGCACAGAGATGCCTCTCCTCATGAGGAACAAATTTGCCTCAAGAACCCATAACTTCCGGTTATATAGATTTTCCACCATTTTGAATTTTTTTGAAAATCGATCTCTTCCTAGGAAGTTTTACCGATCTGCATGAAACTGGGTGAACATAATCTAGGGACCAATATCTAAAGTTCCCTCTCGGCAAAAGTTGGAAAACTTACTAAAACTGAGCTTCTATAAGGCAATGAATATTGCGGAGGGCGTGGCTCATCACATAAAGGTGTATAACATCTCAAGGGTTTCACCGATCACCACGCAACTTTGTAGGCATATGACCACACATAATCTGAGGGGACCCCTCCATTATTAACCCCATCAAACAAAAAGGGGGCACTAGAGAGTTAATTTCTTATCTAGGCCTAACGGCCATATTGATTTTTACTAAACATGGTAGCTATGTAGAACAGGACACCTCAAGGTGACTGGAGAAATTTGACTCGAACTGGCAACTGGGTGGCGCTATAACAACAGAAAAATGCTTAAAAATGGCTAAAATGCGACCGATCGCTGTGGCTCCCCCTGTGGCCCCCCCTGTGGCCCAATGTTTGTTTGTTTTTTCAAATTTTTGGTATGGCTAAGTCATGGTATGGTATGCTGTACTCAATGGGTATGGACTCGTAGAAATATAATAAAGGATATAACATAATAAGACAACATACAGGGTTCCTACAGCCTCAGGTAAGTTAGATTTACAGATTTTTAAGACTTTTAATGCAGTTTTACAATAACGAAAATAAAGCATCAGCCAACAACTGCATGTAGGGTTCTATTGCTTCTTGATTCCCATTGTGAGTGTGAATTTTATTTTCTTTTGCACATAATACAGTTTCAGCCAAATCTTGGTTAAATAGCCAATTTTCCTTGAATTTGCACTTTCCTGTGTCATCCAGGGTACAGAGACAGCTAGTGAGCAGACAGTGGATCCTCTGCTCTGAGCATCCTGGCCAGAAACAAAATATGAGTGTTGTTGTTAACACTATCCTGATTGGTGTGACATACATGTGAGAGGCATTCATAAATTATTAAAGAAAAACAGATGTTGCCAATTATTTTGAAATTTTACAATCCAACATTAGAAAAAACTGTTGATAAAATCCATACTTCCTATGACTGAGCATTTGTTAGACTTTTGAAGGATTGATTTCAGACATTTTAATACCAATTGAGGCCTGATTTTTAGATTAATGAATCAAATGCCTTTTAAGATTTTTAAGGGTCTGCACGAACCCTGGTAACCAAATATAACTATGTATATTAACATAAGATATAGGGTTAAGCTGAATACTCAGATATAATGAGTATCTAGAATAAACAATGTACTTTTTACAAATAATTTTCCTCGTGATAAAGGAAAATCCTCTGTGTTCAATCTCTTACTCTTGTGATCAATAAATAACCTGAGGCTCAAACTTGAGGTTGTTCTGTAAATAGTTTTCAAAGAAATGTTAAATACAGCAACTTCTGATCAACCCATATCAATTTCAGGCTTAAAATAACAACTTCTGGTTTCGTCCCACACGTTTGCTTTAAGTCCCACCCACCTCTGGTTTAAACTCCACCCATTCCGAGCACTGATATGGATACAGATATTTTAGTCGGTTGAAAAGATACATACAATGGTGTACTCGCTCATCCCCAAAAATATAGTTTAATATAGTATGGTCTTTAGAATGTAACATAAAGTGAAATGTAGTACTATTGTAACATATTTAGTATAGTACAGAATTATAACATGGGATATAAAATGTGACATAACATAGTGTGAGTGTAGTATAGTATTATATGTATAGTAAATAACATCAAACATCACAAAATATGTAAGTAATTCTTTAAAAAAAAAATCCAGTCTGTCTTTGTTTGTTGCTAAAGGCTCATAGCAGTTATGGAGCTTTGAAAGTCAGTCATCATTTAATAAATGAATTGATCTAAAAGTTCAAGGTCATTTTTCAAGTTAAAACACTAAACAGTCGCTGGTTACTGACTAATCATTGCTCTGTATCAGGCACATCCAAAGTCAGGCCACAGTTGGCCCCCGTTCATCTTTAATAATATACTATATGTGGCCTGCTACATTATACAGTTGACTTTGCATTTTTTCTGTTCACTTCAGATGGCGGGACTATCACACGCAGGCAGAGCTAATGTGTTTTCATGGACAGACGGTAAACAAGCAAGCAAACTGTTACCTAGCAGCAGACGTTTCCTGCTAGGTAGGCCACAGCAAAAAGCATAAAGTCTACAGAAAGGACCGCTGGTTTTTGGAGTGGTGGAAAGGTGAATGCTTTTTCACTGAAAAATAAACCCCTCTGTCTGTTGCTGTGTCTCAAATCGCGTACTTCCGTTAGTACACTTCCATGTCTCATGTTTTTTTGTTGTTTTTTTTTAATAACCCATATGGTGCACTGGCCCCTTGGTATTTTAACATGATCTAATCTGGCCCCCATCCAAAAAAGTGTGAACAGCCCTGCTCTATATCATTATAAACAAATACATGTCTTTTTTAAAACTGTACTAAAGAAAATAAAAAACCCTGACACTTAATAATGAATAATCTGACAGGTAATCTGGTAGAAATATAAAGCCTGTTAAAACACTTGGAATATAGCTTATGTGCAGTAAATGTTGTGTTTCACTTGTAATTGGCTGCTTGTTGGTCACAGGTTAAATAATGTGACAATCGGACAAGTAAACAACCCTTTATTGTCAAGACATTTCTTTCTAGATAACTTATCTTGCAGGTTTTGTAACTCAGTGTGTAATACTGATGAAATGAGTGTGTTTCACTTCCTCTGAAACCACCTGTACCGATAAAACAGCAGTAATGTAAAGCCACTTTGGTCAGAGAGTTCAAGAAATGCTGCAGTTTACTCGGTGATGGTGTTACTGCTTTTTAACCTTCAGGAGGCGCTGTTCCTCTGCCTGTCTGACACTGCTGAGTCACACTGCAGCTGAGACTCATCTCGTTCAATTATACAGAAAACTAATTATGCTGGAGGAACAAGATTGAAAAGTTTTGTGAGAATATTTCATATGCGAGTAAAAAAAAAAATCACAAAAAAAAACAGCTGAGTAATAATTTGTGGCGTTAGTAATAGAACAAAAGAAATAAAAATAAATCATACTGTCATGTTGCAGGAAATTAAGTCCTTGGGGAGAATATGAACTGAGGGTGTGTTGAAGGAGAGTGGTGTATTTAACATTCACCTGCAGCACCAGGCAGATGCTCCACTTCACTCTTCCGTGTTCTCTTCATGATCTCCTCAATCCTCTGTGAATACGGATCCAAGAAACAAATGGTGAAATACATTTTGTCTTTATTCTTTATTTTTAATTGTATCAGTGTTTTATGTGTCAATAACACCACATGAAAAATGCCTTCTGATGTGAAATCTGAAATATATGAAACAGATTGATTTGAGAAGATTTCTGATACCTTCTTCCTCTGCAGTCTCTCTTGCTCCTCCTGGATGTGCAGCAGCTCTCTCTCCTGCCTCTTCCTCTCTGCCTCCTTCTGGGCTCGCAGGAAGGCCTCCTCCCTCTGAAAAACATCACATCAGTCACATTTCACTCCGTTGATAAAAGCAGAGTTGTAGTTGCACATACCGTCTTTAATCAAAGGATGCAATCAAGAAAAAGCTGAATCTGTCCTTGACTCAACATTAATAATAAAAATAAAAAATGTATCTTCATGTTTTGCTAAGTGGCTCAATGATCTGGTTTCCTGTCTTTATTTAGAGGAGATTAGATTAGGCACTCCACATCCTGTTGTCCTGTTGTTAGCTGGTTAAAAATCTGGGGCCCTGTGGATTTGCATTGGCGCTTCAATGATTGTTCTCTCTGCCATTAAAAAAAGTCAGACAAAGCCTTTTTGATGAATGGTTAAAATTTATGATGGACATTACCTCTTCTGAATCATTAATTGCACTGACTAATAATCACCAAGTGATGTTTTATCAAGTCTGGACTAATTTTTTAACTGCATGCAGAGAAAGAAACATTACAGAATGATTTTTGTATGAAAATGTACAACTTAATTCATATTTTTATTTAATATTTTTTACTTAGACTATATGCCCAAATTTGTTTTTGTGGCATTTGCTTTGTTAACTGTTCTCTATTTTACTATGTTGTCTTGTATTGCATTAAGTTATTTATCTACTGTGACTTTTGTAATGGTGTTCAGATTTTGGAATGCATATTTAGTAAAATATATATTGATATGCTTCAGATATGACATACTAAAAATAATAGACATCAACAAAAAATATAATAGAGGTCAAGAAGGGACACTGGAAATTATGATTATGTAACATTTTGTTTTCATCCAGTTTATATTCATTATAAACATGTGCTGTGGCCTTTTTAAAATTTCTTTTAAATCTACCCTTCCACCCTCCAATTTGTTCTTTCTTTTGTTTTTTTTTTTTTACTTTTTCTTGATTTATTTTATGCGATTTTACATTATTATTGTTATTATACTTCATCTGTACATGTGTACATATGTGTGTGATATGGTTTACTGCACAATGACTATAAGACAATACAAAGTATTTAAAAAAACTTGAAAAATATCTGGGGTCATTTTATTGATGTTCCTTATATTGGTGGGTGTATCACTGTAGGGAATTTGTTGTTTTCTGGTTGTGTTTTTTTATTTGTTCCAAAAGTTTAAAGTAAATTAAAGAAAAAAGAGAACCCAACACTGACATTTAATAGTTGGCGGGACATAAATCATGGTTTCTGGTGTCAAAATCAACAAAATAGTAAATAATATTAACATGGCATGAAACCATCTCCTTTTATTCAGAAAGCTGCATCCTAAATGAATGATTTTTGAGATATTTTCTAGAAATGTAAACAGACAAATGTTACATGTATAAAAACAAATTTAAAAAGGGATTTATGTGACCTGACCTCTCTGTCCAGCTGATCCTGCATGTCCTTCCATCTCTGCTCCTTCTGCCGTCTTTCCTCGTCCTCTCTGTTCCTTCTTTCCTCCTCCCGCCTCAGTCTCTCCTCCTCGGCCTGCTGAGCGGCTCTCTCCTGCCTCTCTCTCAACTCCTGCTGCCTCCTCTGCTCCTCCTCAGCCCTCTGCCTGGAGGAACACATGAGGGTTTGAGTTGTAGAGGCCACAATACAATGCTAGCACAAACTAATGAAAAATCAATGGTCGTTTTCATTTTATTCGTCAGTTTCTGGACTCAGCTGATTGTTATAAATGAATTTGTAGTGCTTGTGGGGTTTTTTAATTTGTAATGTTTATTCGTGTGGTAGAACTGGACTGAAGATGCAGTGAACAGACAATATTTTGGACAAAATTGATTGCTAAATGTTAAATGATGGGAGACTGTGTTGGTCATTGTCTAACACAAATATCGTATATCTAAAACAAGCAGCAACCTCCAGGGCTGAAAAATTAAGCCAACATGCAAGTGCCAAAACTGCAGTTCTTTTATGGCCACTTGAGGGTGGCTCCAGTTGCCAGTCAATCCCCATAAAACTACAAATTGTGATACTTTAATTGCGTAAATTAAATGATTTTTATCCCATAATTATTATCAAAATACTTGACAAAGCAGCTGAAAAGACAAGTTTCAGTCAAACTTGTGGTGAATCTCAACTAAACAATTAAACCAGAATCAGATATAGGTTTAATGATGAGTAGGTTTTCACATAACATGAGAGAAAAGAGAAAAAAAAGCACTAAAGAAGCGAAGGTTTATAAAACAGGTTATTTTCATAATTACTAACTTTCATACTAATTTCAAAATAAGATTTGTTCCTTCTTTTTCAACCAGTCTTATCTTTAGCATCAGACCAACTGGGATTATCCATTAAAATAAATACAAGGGTTCATTCATACATAAATACACATGTAAACATGCATATCAAAGTCACAACTAAAAATCATTTTAGTTCCAGATACCAAGATGATGTCATTATTTTTTTTTTTGGGGGGGGGGGGGTAAAGACATGTTTGGCATTACATTTTTGAAAAAATATTTTAAAGGATTAATCAATTATTAGAATAGCTGCAGATTCATTTAAATGTTTAACTAAGCTCTTAATACACACACACACACACACACACACACACACACATACACGCACACACCTCTCCTCCTCCTGACGCTGTTTCTCCTCCTGCTCCTTCTGTATTCGGGCCAGACGTCGTCTCTCTGCCAGCAGTCTGGACGCTTCCTCAGCATCTGTCGTTCCACCAACACTCCTGCCTGTGGGCGTGCCCGGAGACTCTGTGTGTGGAGACAAAGATGTTGGAACAAAGAGGTGGTGCAGCATGACTTCACAAAAAAAAAAACAAACACGTCTGGACAAATCTTTCAGGAGTCAGAATAACCACAGAGTGGACGAGGGTATAATACAGACAGCTTGGTCAGCAATACAGCAGAGTCTTAATAAAACTCTACACGTAACACCAAGTCTTTGTTTTCTGATATATCCACTCTCCAAAAAAGTTCTGTTTTCAGGTGAGAAAACTGCAGCTTCCAAAACAGAGAGAAAAATATTTGTTTTTTAGTTTAGTGTGAACATAGTTTTGATCTAGACAACAAGCACAGAGAGGACGGTATTTTGTTAAACTTTGCTGCTCAAATTTTCTGTCCCTCTTTGCTTCTGTCTCTGTCACTGATTCTGTCAAAAAAATGTCCCTTTGATATTAAAACTATTTTTTAAATTCAATGACTACGATTATGACCAAAGTATAATAACTTTGGAGTTCAGTATTTTATGATATCCAATGTGTGTAAGATCAGGTAGTTAGGGTTTCACTTTCATTGTGTTTCTTTTAGTCAGAGGTAGTTTGTAGCTCTAGTTTAGGACTCCTCTTTTGGTTATATTAAATTATAAGATTTGAGCAGCACCCACAGACCCTTTTCTCTTATAGTTTGCATCTTTCTCTCTCATGCGTGTCAACTGTATACTATAATGACAACAATGCAGAGACATAAACACACACTGCCATTACCTGCATTGAGTTCTTTGCTGGTGGATTTGGGAATCTTCCTCTCCAAGGTCTCAGATTTGGTAGATTTTCTCTCCAGGGTGCTGTGCCCTTTGACCTCAGAGTGACCCCTATCGTCGGTGCCAGGGGTGGTGGCCCTTTGCCGGAGTGGGGAGGGGGGATACTGGCCAGGGGAGCAGGGTGACTGGGGGCGGCTCCTGTTTGACCTCACCCTTAAAATCACCACAAACAATCATTTATGATCCAGGTGAGATGTGTGTGTGTGTGTGTGTGTGTGCGTGCGTTTCATACCGTTTCGGTGTGGCAGGGCCCTTGCTGTTGGCCCTGAAGGAAGAACTGCGGGCCGGTGTGTTTGGAGTGTCTCCCTGCAAAGTCACAATTAAAAAATACAACTGTGATAAAAACAACAGCACATATTATAAACGAATAGTCAACCATGTCATCAAGTATCGTGTAAAATGTTTGTTCCAAATATATGTTAGCTCCACTAGAGCCTGACATCAAAGTGAAATCTTCTCTGTTTCATCAACCTTGATCTATTTCTTTCTGGCTCATTCGGGTTCTGTGAGTTTTGGGATCACACTTGCATCCTGGTTTGTCACTTTTACTCCTAATCATGTATCAAAATCAAATAATTTCCAATACTGATTTCATAGTTTCCACCAAAAAAACAACAATGTGGCTCTTAAAGCACACTGCAATTGTTTCCAATGTTAGAGATTAAGTTGAGTTTTCTTTTCCAATTAGTGAAAACAATCCTATGACTGAATTCCTGAGTATTTATTTAATAATCATGACTCCGTACTACTTAACTACTATGCAGGCATCAACATGATTCAATAGATGATTCTTTGAATCCTGCTACATGTAACGTAGAACAAAATTATATGCCCAAACACAGCAACACATTATACATGAAGATGTGACTCAACTTTTTTTTTACTAACAATTATTTTTGGGCATTTTTCATGCTTTATTGATAGTGAGAGAGAGAGATGTGAAGGACCTGCAGCAAAGAGCCCTGCACCCTTGAACTTGGGTCACTGCGGTCAGGACTCAGCTTTAATGGTGCGTGCGCTACCGGGTGAGCTACCAGGTGAGCTACCAGGGCATCCCCAGATGTGGCTCATCGTATAAGTACTGTTACGGTCACGGTCTGGGTCTTTCTTTCTTTCTTTTTTTTTCCTTTATGGTCTATGCAGAGCTGGTTGTGAACCTGAGGTCGCAGCTATGTTATTATTATTATGTATGCTGTGCAATGCCTTGGGACAATGAACTACAAATCCCGGTGCGGCAGGTCCCAGGTGCTATGGTGCTATGGTGCTCCGTGCGCAGGCGTGTGGTGGGGACCTTTGATTACAAATGGGATACAGCTGGTGAGGACGCGAAGAGAGAGCAGTATCTGCACGACCCGACGGACAAACAGCGATACATTTTTATATCTCTCTCTCCATCAAAAAAAAGAAGAAAACCAAAAACTGAACTATCCAGACGATGACGGGGCTGGCAGCTCAGGAGAGCGATGCTTGGGCTCTCGGAACAGACACTATCGATGACACTGCATAACAGTAAGCATAGCTGCCTCTGTTTACTTTTGCTTGGTTCACCAGCCAGCTCTGTGCTTTATGGTGTTTTGTTTTGTTTTCTTTATGTTGTGTTACAGTAGTGGCAAGCCCTATTGGGCATTGTCACAACTGGGACATAATAGTACTGAGATATAAGAAGGAACTTTTTTTCATTAATTGTAGGTGGTACTATTACCTAGAGGTGTAACAATCCTGATATGAACTGATATATTGATTTAATGATCACCATCCAATATCATTGATGCAAGGTGAAAACACTAATCCATAACATCGTCTTTAGGTTATACCTATTTTTTGAAAGTCAGTGTCACTGTCAAACAGCAGCAGGCAGACGGCAAGCAGCCGAGAGAAAGACAATGAGGATAAAATTATTTACTGGGTAATAAATCAGCAGGGTGGAAATATTATCAATTTCAGAGAAGACAGGGATCGACAGACAAAGCGCATGCCGTATCTAAACAAAGCCGTTACAAGATAAAATATGACATATCTGCCTAGCTGGGCATCTCACTCCGCTAACTTATTCCTATAACAACATTAGCTGCTCTGTTTCAACAACGTTGGCTGAAAAAACGTGCATGCAGGCTGAAATTCAATCGTGCTGTTCAGTCCGGAGATGCACTGACTTAAACCAACTGTGAGTCAGAAAAATAATAAATAATACAGGTAATTTGTTGAGCTATGAGTAGAGGAAATCTGTTAGTTTCTAGGCTAATTTATGCAGTGTATGGGTGGTGGCTTAAGCTAATGATACTGTAGGTGACAAGCAAAAACCATTTGTTTTGTATCTGAACAGGTATTACTGAGCCTAATATTATACTTTTGTAAAATGACCTTGTTATTAATCCATGATTTATGGCTGTTGGGGGAAGTTTTACATTCAAGTTTTAGGGAAAAGACGATGGTTTGGATTAAAATGAAAACATTTCTTTCAGGTCTTTACGGCTGAAAGCCCTGAAGGTGAACTTATCCCATGTGCTGTTCTCTGTGGGTTAGTGGAGTCAATGTAACATAAACTTTACTGCACTTAAGCTGTTACAATTATTTAAGTTAATTTTTTATTTTATTTTTTATGGCCAAAAGCAAAAAGAATTAAATGATCATATGATATCGTCTCATATCGATCGCAGGCCCCTGAATTGCATTGTTGTCCAAAGAATCGATATGATATTGTATCATGATGAAACTAGTGATTTACATCGCTACTATGAATAAAGGCTTCCAAACCTACCAAACTTTTTTGTTTACAGACCAATTGTAACTAGTAATGTTAGGATTTCTTGATGTCAACCACTTCTTCAATCTGTCGCTGGGGCTTGTCCTTCCATGATGGTTCATCCTCCTCTTATGCACTCTTGGCTTTCTGCTGCCTGAGATATTCACTTAGCAGCTCAACTCTGGGGGCCATCTTCCTGATGTATTCCTGGATCTTGGTTGTTTCGTCCTGGACAGTGGCTCGAGTCCTCAGCCTCCCTCCCCCCTTCGGTTCTTATCGTCTTCCCTCTCTTGAACACCATCCGACCACACTTATCTAATCCGAATGACATTCAGATGTCATTGCTGCAGATCCTGGTGAGGTGGATCAGTGAGTCGATGTCTCGCTCACTCCTGACGTACAGGTTGATGTCATCCATGTAGAGGAGGTGACTGATGGTTGCTCCACTTCAGAACCAGTATCTGTAGCCACTCTTTGTTATGAGTTGGCTGAGGGGGTTCAGGCCTATGCAGTGGGGACAGTGCATCACCTTGGTATATGCCGCACTTGATGGTAACTTGTGCCTCTAGTTAGCCTCCAGAGTCGTTTTTCACTGCCCCATTGAATTCTTGATAAAGGCCTTTGGTGTCCTGTTGATGTTGCACATTTCCAGTACCCATGTGTGTGGCAATGAGTCGTAGGCTTTTTGTAGTCAATCCAGGCGGTGCACAGGTTATTCATCTTAGCTGCTATGATGCCTGACAGGAGCTTCCATGTTGTACAGAGGTAGGCTGTTGGCCGGTAGTTGCATGGGACCACACCCTTCTTGGGATCCTTCATGATCAGGACTATCCGCCCTTGGGTCAATCATTATGAATGCTGATTGATGCATGATAAACTTTGCAAAAGGTATATTTATAATACAGCAACTGTCACTCAGATTTTTTTATTGTTGTTTCTTTAAATAAACTTGTCACCTGTTTTTAACAGTCAGCCCTTTACTTTGAATTTCGCATTAAGAGCCACTGGATCAAATCTGCATAGAAATCTGCTGGACTGTTTTCTGATTTAAAACATGATGAGGAAAGCTGAACATCTGATAGTGATGAGAATAAAAAGTCAATCAAACAAACATTTCAATATGCTCATCCTCCTCAGGAAAGACAAGAAAACATTCACCCACAACAGTAATAACTCCTTTCCAAAATAAACCAAAAAGGTTTGTGGGAAATGTGGTCTTATTTGGAAGAAACAACAGCAATAACAAGCATAGAAGCTAAAGGCAGTCACTCACCATCACCAACACAAATATTTACATTAATCTACACATTAATTAATTAATCTCCAGTTTACAGCTGCAGGCATGTGTGCAGGTTTGTGTGTGCATATATCTACATATTTCTAAGATAACCATAACAAACAAAATGTCTCACAACACTTAACGTTAATGTGCTCTTTCAGTCTTGAATAGCTCACAGTTAATTAGGTGTCTAGTTCTACATGTGTGCATGTGTGCATGTGTGCATGTGCGTGTGTGTGTGTGTGTGTGTGTGTGTGTGTGTGTGTGTGAGGGCTGACCGTGGGTGTTTTGGCTCTAGACGTCTCTTCAGGGAGTCCAGCGATGCTCCTGCGGTTGGAGGAACTTCTATACGGTCTGTGTTGGTTGGGGGAAGCTGTTCGATGGGACACAGAAGACACTGATGGGTCATGTACCAACACACACACAAAACACACAATGATGTTGACACAGACCAACAAAAATCAGAAGAAGGACACACTTGAGCAAAATATTCAACTCCACTCAGATATGCACATTAATGAAAGAGCCACTAAATGTACGTTAAAAACATGACTGAACTGTAAGAAATGAAAAGCTCTTAGTATGTGTACTCTTTTATATCACATGCAGTTTCCTCAACATAGGGTATGTTTATTTTTTTGCATTGTGTGGCCTTTACCTGTTTTGCATCTTTAGCTTCTGAGTAAATTTGTGATATGTGAACCCACTGTTACTGTACCTCTCTCTGGTGAATGCAGGGCAGCTGAAGAGTTGGAGAGCTGTTTGTTGATTGGTTGATCCATCCCGGGTGGAGACAGGAAGTCACCGACTGATAGAAAAAAAACACAAATCACTCAAACAGACACATACATGACAGTGAATCAAAGTGCTGACTGCAGCTATATCGAAGGATAATGTAAATGTTCAATACATGTCCTAAAAACAAACACCCATCACACAACACACAAAAAACTGCCCCCTCACACAGAAAATAATCCTGCTGATCGATAAGCGCTGCAGGCTGCTGAATAAATTAACCTTGTGGTGATGTGAGGCAGAAATGAAGCAGCAGAACAGAGAACAGCCTGCTTCATCATGAAATGGAGGATGATGATACAGAGGCAGCTGCTGCAGTCCCATTTAAATGAGAGGAAAATGTTTCCTACAGCACCTGAAGGCACCGTGACAGCATCCACATGCACAGTGTAACCTGATTACTGTGAATCAGAAGGTTAGGATTATAATTTGATTTAAGTAAAGTATTACTCAGAACATATCCCGGATGGTGAGTTAGAATGTTTTAATCAGCCATTGCTGATAGACTTCAGACTTCTTCAGGTCGGGAGAATGACTGCCCTCCTTTGGAAAAATATGCAAATGCCCCTGTGAGTTTACAGCTGAAGGAGGTTGCAACTAACCTTGCTTTGGAGAGACTTACATATAGATTGTTAGAAGAAAAACAACACAAATTTATCAAAATATGCAATCCTGTCTTATAATTTTTAGAAAATGAGAATATCCCACTGTCATGAATGTCATCACTACTGCTGCTCATTGTTTTCTTCTTTTAATACCTTTATTTCATATCGATCTCATATTTCATTTTAACTATTTGTATGTCAAAACACTTGTGTATTTTGTTTTCCTTACATATATGAGCATTTTACAGGGCTTTTATTTTCATTTTTCATTATAGTGTGGTGCAGGAATAAGTCCTAAAACCGAGAAATGAGTTCCTGGTTCCTTCGCTCCAAAGTTAATGGGTTTTTTGAATCAGTTTTTGATTAGATGCCTGAAATAAGGTCTGTGGTTCACACACGCTTAAGAGACTTTCACGTTTGTTCTATGGCATAAAATACATCAGTAAATATCCCACTCGTGAATTTTGAAGGTTTTATATGTTTTTAAAAAGGCAGCTGCTAACAAGTGGCTAAATGAGACTACAGAATGTCATCACATTGGACATGGCTTTACAGCCTCCTTATGGTGGCAACATTTAGTCATGTGACTGTGTTGTAGTTCGTTTATAGCCTAACATTAGCTTTTTACTCCTGGCGTTTGCATTTACCTTTCAGAAATCATAAAAGTAGTGTTTATTTGTTAAGATTATTTTGTTAACAAAATGTGTACGTATCATAAACTTATGTTTGACACAGAGCTTATTTTCTGCAGTAATACAAAATCTGACAGAAAAATCCCATAAGCTTTTTGACGAGGGAACCAGGGTGATGTTAACTCCAGTGTCAGCCTACAAAAAAAAAAAAAAACATCATTCCTGCAGCACTTTATCATGTAGTGAAAATCTGATATTATGTCAGCCCTAGCCAGGACCATGACAGCTTACAGAATCATTATTATTAAGTATTTAACAAAATATCACTATAATCTAATTTTTGAAACATTTTTGTTAGACTTAATCTAATAAAACACAAAAGACTTAATATAATTGGATGGCTGAGAGGCTGAGATCATACGTAACTATTGTGTTAATGTAACATATATGTAAATTGAAGACCTTCATAAGATTTTTGGCAAACATTTTACATATACATATATATATATATACAGTACAGGCCAAAAGTTTGGACACACCTTCTCATTCAATGCGTTTTCTTTATTTTCATGACTATTTACATTGTAGATTCTCACTGAAGGCATCAAAACTATGAATGAACACATGTGGAGTTATGTACTTAACAAAAAAAGGTGAAATAACTGAAAACATGTTTTATATTCTAGTTTCTTCAAAATAGCCACCCTTTGCTCTGATTACTGCTTTGCACACTCTTGGCATTCTCTCCATGAGCTTCAAGAGGTAGTCACCTGAAATGGTTT